TGAACAACTATATTAGATCATTAGATTTGGGCCCATACCTTCTAACAACATACCCTATGGAAGCAGTTAATGTATAATGCTCTATCCCATTTATAATCCGAGACACTTTAACAGACGAACGATCTCGTATGAGGAACCATTGTTCCCTAACTGCCTTTCTAAGAAACTAAAAAACAGCTACGCAGTCCTTCTCTAAGTTATTCATCCACACACCGACGAATCATAGAAATTCATAGCCTAATTACTAAATTGGAACCATAAAGGACCTTAGCAGCAGAGTATGGTGTACTAGAATCCTCCGAACGAACAGTTAACATTTTTCAAAAACAAGTGAATGAGCAGCGATAGTGAGGACCCCATATTATTATCAATATAACAGGACAAGTCATAACAACTGACAACTGGATAGCAAATTTATTTAACATACAATGACGCCTTACTAAATCTTTGTCCAAATATGATGGCCGCCAAGTTTCATGCTTAGATTTATATCATAAATACGGTCATCGACGCCGCTGGATCAGAAGACTCAAAAATGGTCTGAATTCCGTATTCAAGGCCACACACGACCAAGATTTTCTCAAAATGAATCTACCACCAAACCAAGACACCGCTGAAACGTTAGACATAACGAAGATATTATGAGGATTCTCAAATTCTAAAAGTCCCGACGATAAAATTTTTACTCCAAAATATATGCGTCTCTCTGGAATGCCCTCCCACGTTCTACAAAGAACCTTCTTTTAAGTTACAGTGCTCATTTACTTTTGAATAAGATAGGATATTTTCCAAGTTAATTATTTGATATAGAATTTGGTCCAAAAGGGCTCCGGTGTAGCCAGCCACTTCAGTATCACCGGAACGTAGCTAAAAACTATTGAATTTAATAAGCATAGAACAAATTGAGAAAGCCTATCTTTTTCCATTTTCTCGTCTTTACCAGCTAACTCACTTGACACTTATTATCCCTTAAGATGTTAACATTAACACACCTTGTGATATAACCTTATATATTATTAAGGCCATATTGAGGCCATATAAAATCTATGTACAACTATGCCATATCTTAATAAACAGTCGTTCAATAGTTCTATGATGTCCCATTATCATATTGTTATCGCGGAAGTTCTAAGAGGGCAACCAGGAAAGTAAGAAAAGACGACTAGGGCTTGTTCTAACCTGGAGACGGACGAGGAAATTAAGTAGCTAAAGCGCAAGGGAGATGTAGAAGTCAGGAGGAGCAGTGAGTCGGATTCAGAAGAGTAGGATTAACTGTGTTGTCACAGTTACTTTTAATAGGATCGAATTTGTGAACATTTGACTGAAAATGCGAGGCCTTATATGAGAAAAGGGATCCATTTCTGCGCTGCGTGAGGGTAAGTTCGTGCTAAAGACAAAATATCTCGTTTTCAAAATATGTAGAAAGACGATCTCATCGGCCAAAGACCGAATCAAAATCAACTGGTTAAAATAACTTCACACATTGTTTCTGCGGGATGACAGGAATAAACATCCGCTATTATATAATGAAATGCACATGAGTCCAAGAAATCAGCCGCAAAATAACTTAGCCATGCAGACTCAAGTAACATTTTTCAATGAGTAGGCATAAGTACTTATTTGTCTATCACATGATTCACCGGCGACTACGTGAACGAGTAAGTCAAGACGTTTGAATTCTTGAGAAGGAACATCGGTAATATTCCCGGCCGAATGTTACCCAGAATTAAGAGTACAGTACCAAACTTCAGCATAGAATTCGTACACCTTACAACGCAGGTAGATTAAGCTGTTTATCAACGAAAATGGGTAAAAACCGGCCAATGATGCTTCACGACTTAAATTTGTTTAAGCCACGTCTAGGCACAGGGGCTGAGAGCTTTCGCCGACCTGTACTTTTGGCCTCATCTCCAATAAAAGAAAGCTGTTACCAATAAAATCTTCTACCAGATCTGATGACTGGATTTCAGTGATAGTTAACAGTGCAAAAGTGTACCTCGTTGAAGACATTTATGATGCAAATGAGCAATGCGATGAGTAATCCGCAGGCGCAGTCCGGCAAAACTCGGAGGGGAACTGAAACGTATAAGTTGAAGAAAATAAGCCTGAATTTGAAGAGGTTTCTTCAAAAACGAAAACTGGAGAGTCCTATCTGCAGTCTAGAAAAATTATTCTTTATGAAACTGTCCACTTATCATTGACTTCGGAACGATCCGCTTGAAGTTGAACTGAATCAGTTAATAACGCATGGGTAAGCCAGTCTGACCTAACCTGTTGGATAACTTGCTAGCATATCGTCCGTCGTAGCCGAATTCCATGTATAAGTAAAACACAGGACCATTATAAAAACGTAAACCAGGGAGTTGATGGAGGAAGAGACTTATTGAGCACCTCGAAGGACGATAACTACTAAAATATAACTTATTCACTTTCGATAATTGAGGGCGAAGACGTTAAGCGCCTTCGTACGAGATTCGGTTTACGACCTTTTAAAAGTACGAAGTCTTTCCCAGCTGCTAGTCCAGACAAATATGAAAGACATTATGCGATACAAAAACGAACGACACGACCAGCTATAAGCAACAGCCCAAATAAACTGACAGCTGGCAACTAGCAGACACCCTAAATTGATCAACTCGAAGACATTTTCAACGTCAAGCCAACGTCAAAGTTCTTCAATATCCACGAAAGGCGATATATTCATGGTTCCAAATTCTACAAAAGCCCAAACTCCGATCTCTATATTGTAAATATCGTTCCTACTTCTAACTTTTGCTATTGCTTTACCTCGAAAATAAGGTCTTTTAATCTCAAACAAACTCTAACTTCGCGCTTTATTGACTAAGCGGACACCCGAAACAAATAAAGTCAAAGTGCAGCGAGAAGGGATGAGGTTAGTTTGGGTTTTTTCCTAATTTCAAACGAGACTCACTGTTTTCAAAATGAGCTATGGAAAACTTATTTTATTCTGTTCTACTGCGTTTTACAGTTTGGCTGGTCGCATAAGTGTTCATGTTTACAATACGGATGTGGCTTCTGATGAGCACCAAAATGTTACAAGTCATGCTATATCATCACTTGTAACATAGTTGTGATACTAAAGCATAACTTGCAACAAAGCTAGTGCTCACCCTAAGCCACATCCGTATTGTAAGCATACACGCCTGTGCGACCAGCCGCGCGTGCGTTACGTCATCTTAAAAGTGGCCACCTTGCAATATACGGTTTTATTCGAACACTCAGCGTTAGTGCGGTTTAATTATAAGGCGGTATCTGTTCGCTACTTTTAACGGCACTTTTGAACAAGTCAGAAAATAAAATAATAAAGAATACCCAAATCTGGCCGTTAAAATGTGTCATTTTGCAGACCTTGACAAAGCGGCAGTCTTTTAAAACTTAGCTTGATTGGTAGGCAGCGGTCAAGATCACCAGCTGAAAATGACGAGACGGGATGAGCTAGATGGTACGTCTGTGCAAATGAAGTATAATCTTCTAGACATAATGTTCAGCATGCAAACCGGACTAAATCAGCTGATCGCCTTATCTGACGACGCGGAAAAAGTTATGACATTTCATCGCACACTGTTGCTTTGGGTATTGCCTAGAAATGGTCTAACTCCTGTTTAGGAAATAAAGGCAGATAACATGCGAACAGCTTTCAGCTTTGCGAAGAGCATTGTTTGGAAGACAATTGAGAGGGACTTCTATCTATATGTCTATAGTCAATTATCTTTTTGGCTAAGAATGACATACGAAAAAGAGGACAAAGAGAATGTAAATACGTTTATTTTCTACTATTAGACAGGTTAAATTAAAACTACAAAATGCCCTGCGGAGACTTAAAAGCATTCTTAACTCATCTGTTGGTCTGGACTTACCTTCGATCGTCCCTCAATATCGAAACTTTTTACGCGAGCTTGAAGGCTGCGAAAATGGGCTTGATTCGATGACACTTGACAAAGCAACAATTGAAGCTGAGGCACTTCAGCTTCTGGACCAGGTAGATTTTGTGATCGTTTAATGCTATATGAGAGTCATAAATTTTTTACGGTTGATCGTTATGAACGGGAATTATATGTTAACGCAGCACATCCGATACCAACATATAAAGTGGAGTCTTTAATTGATTCACCATAACTATTCATATATTAGTTCAGACGTAAGAGCCTTAGAGTGCTCCTGCGACAGCAGCAGCGCGACGGCTATTTTTCCTAGGTGCGACCACAGCGTCCAAATTTTTCTCCATAGCCCATTCGATTAGTTCGACTATGTCTCATCTAGCCTGTGGAGGCTGGACGTGATCGGGTGGAAACAGAAAGTCTTATAAGACTGAGAGCAAATCAATACAGTTTATATCAAGCTTTAGGCAAAAACTTTCTCCAATTAAGGTCTTGGTTATTATATGTTGACCAAGACATGCAGCCTCTTTCTTCTAACCGGAATTATTAATGATTTCTGTAGTAATAATGATTTCCGCAGTTTGAGATGATAATAACAGTTTAAACTGACATTTACGAAAACCAACAGTTACAATGGGTGTTGTGAGGATCCTTCTGAATTTTATGTCAAAAATGTTTAAATGCCAAAATAATTCAACTTTGAGCTTTTCTTTGAATAGACTTCAGTGGAATGCGGACACAACATACGCGTCTATGACAGATTACATGAAATTTCTCAGGCATCGAGCTTTGATAAATCTCTGGACAGGTTTGCTCTTGTATAAATTTTAAAATAGATTTTTAATTTAAACAAATAGGTAAAACAATTTTTCGACACATATTTTATGAAGGAACTTTTAAAATCATCTGAAATGACGCGGCTTCTTTTCTGTACTTGTTTAAGAAACGTAAATCGAAACTGAAGCCTACAATAATCTCAAATTATCTTCTTGGTCTAAAAAGTGAATAAAGAGACATTTTTCTGAAACTATTTTTCTTAGTTTATCTAGAGTTTATGTTCATATAGCGACTCCGAAATAATAGTTTTCACATCGTACAGCTTTTCATGAGCAGTTATGTTTATAAAAAATTCTAGGAGGTCGAAAGTTTATTTAAAAAAACCAAAGAATGCATTTTGCTCATGAGTACAACAATTGCACTCGTATAATTTTATTCCAAAACCAATAAGCAGGTGAAAACCGCCAAAGTTTGTAGTGGGTTTCTAAACGTGTTATTTTTGAGCTCCATCTCAAACATCGGCCTGATATGTTTTGATTTTGTAGCAATAATCATGTGTCTCGGTTAAGTTTTGTGCAATTTTCCACAAGGCCTTGTTATACTATCGACCTTGTCAACATAAATCGTATTATATGTCAGTCTTTTCTAGAAGGCAAACATAACCCACTCAGAGGAAGACTCTTTGTCCTCAAATTTTCCCTACTTATCTGCTTTTTACGGGCTAACATTCTTCGTTTTCGAAAAAAAGAGAAATTTAAACATCGAAAAGCAGCTTCTTTTAGACGTCTTTAAACCTAATCGATGTAATTTCAGGCACATAGTAACTAAAAGGCAGAACTGAGCTACGCTTCATACATGGCTGAACAAACAGCTCCCAATTTGACAGTATATTGCTTTTCAGATGCATGCATAAACAAGTGAAAGACCACCGCTTGATTGCTGCTTACTAAAGCTGTAATCTCCTTTACTTATTACCATGCCTTCAAAGAAATATTTCATGAGTACCAAGTCGGCTTAGCCTTGAAGAACGAGATACACTCGCTGGGACAAGAGCTTTATTAGCCTTACGTTTCGGATTCTTGCTCGAACTTATCATTAGAGACAAAAGCAGTTAGGGTGATTCATGCATAAGGGGTTGCAGTATTTATAGGATGCAGTCGCCGTGCTACCGCATAGCTATGAATATTCACGGATCCTCTCTTAATCAGGGATTTGTGCATCTGGTGTGATGACTGTTTAAAGGCCGAAAGTCGCGTCGTTTCTTGCTGCAATTTCATCACGTGCGTTGGATGCTGGTGTGATGATTGCTCGACCATCTGATACACCGACCCTGGTGTGGAGTAAAGTGTTCGTGTGCGCGCTCCCCATGTGGTCAGTTTTTCCGCCTAGGCAAAGTCTCAGCATCAAGTATGGAAGCGGAAGGTCATTGCACTTGTTAATTGACTGGGGACCAGTAAACAATGACTCAAACAGCTTCCCGCTCACGAGATTGTCATCTCCTGCGAGAATTTCGGTCTCGTTGAATTTGATTGTGTGGCCGGATCTCGTCAAATGAGCCGCAACTTGTGACCTGGCGTCATTTCTCCGCACCGTTTCAGCATGTTCAGTCGCTCGCGTTCGGAGCCGTCTTTCGGTTTCTCCGACGTAGTTAGTTTGTCCGCAACTACACCAGATCCGATAAGCGACTCCAGACGTTTCTTGTCGTGGCAGCGGGTCTTTTGGTTTCACTAACTGACGCCTGATGGTTACCTCCGGTCTGTGTGCAACTGCAACCCCAAGTGGTGCAAGACGGCGGCAGACAGCTTCCGAAACGTTCTTGACATATGGAGCGTTCGCCGGAATTTCGTGTCCGTGCGATTAGGTCTGTTTTCGTATTTCGTTCGCTCATCTCACACTTACAGCACCGACACGTTGCGTTTCTTGCAGACAGCAATGCTTGCTTTAAATCGTATGAATCACTCGCTCTTTCATTACCCATTCAAAGAGTGGGCCTCTCACAGGTTGGCTTCCAGACCCCACTGCGTTCTGTGGCTAGCGCCAGCTCACTTGGTCCGACTGAACAGCCATCGACGTCGCAAGCAAACCCTCAGCCAAGCACTTTGCCAGACGACCAAACAGGCACCCAAATGATCCGAACGTCAACGCCTGAGCTTGCGACGGCTGGTGCCACCGAAGGGATGGCTAAAAGTGTTTCAAAATCTCGCAGCTTCGTTGTGTAAGTTCGAAATTGCACAACGTCTAGTCAACCTGCCTGAGGGCAAACTTTTCATTGCCATAAGATATGTCGAATTATGAATCTGCTTACCTGAGACCATAACTCGCCTTAATAGATTATTCTCGAGAGTTTCAGGACAGTTTAATTTGCGCATAGAATGTAAATATACTGATGCAAAAATTATATGAATTGCATCTACTTCCTTCGAAATCTGATACTATGTAAACAAATTAAGATTGGACCCTCACAACTGCCAATCTCCCTTCAGATAAAGATAAGATCAGCTGAGAGCTCGCCGGTGAAGAGGTTTTTATCAAAATGGTGTGATTGGCTATTGAACAAGCACAAAGAATTTAGCTAGTAATGGTTGTTTTGTAATAGATTCAGATGGATGAGGCGAAACTAATAGACGCTGAGTTAAAATTTCGGAATTATCGAATTAAAAAAACCTGGTTATATGGAGACTTCCAGTAATGTGCATAAAGCATGAGTTTGAAGAGTTACTAAATTCATCGGGTAAGTCATAATCTTCAGTATTACTCTGCAGTGTCTGCGAGATAACTTCGAAAGTCACGTTTAAAGTAATACGTGAGGAGGTCATGTGTACGCAGTGACGCACTATTGTCCAGGTCGCAACCACCTACTGTTTGTCAGTTAAGCACTGAACACGATGTTCGGTTATATGTTGTCCACGGTGTTGGTAACTGATATCATACACTTGGGCCCATTTTAACTGGATCTGTTTCTATTTACAGCATGTGTTCCGCTAGTTACGTCTGACGATAAATATAAACAATTGCATTTCCGTTTTTAAAAGATGCAAACGTATTTTTAGTTTTCGGATGTCTTTACTACTCTAACTTAGTTTGGTCCCTCAGTGTAAGGCAAAGCTGCGTTCATAGATTGATCGGCTGTATCAAACCTATCAATAAAGTTCTAATGATAAGCAGAATAAGCAAACACCCTTTTGTTTTGATGCAAAGTATTAAAACAGAATTAACAGTATCCAACATGAAATATATTTGGTGAAGTCGCAAACTTATTGACTAGGAAATGCTCTTTCTGCCGTTAACTCCTATGACAATAGTAGATGGTCAACTTGCTCCAGCGGAAATGGAAGTCAAAAGAACTGTGCCTGCACGAAAATCGATGGGATTCTTGCACTGAAGTAGAGTCTACGCGACTTGCAATACTAATTATTTCAACGAGAATTTAATTTTTACCGAGGTGGAATTAATTGACCTAATTAACTGTGACAAGAACCTTCCAGCCGTTAACTGGCCTCGTGTAAAATGAATAAAATCTCATGATGCATGAGACCTCTAAAAGTAATTCACACGACCCGCATGAGGCATTACATGATTACAGGTCAAAAACACAGCTAAAGCAACTTAGCGAGAGGCTACGGAGGAAAACTGGAGGTGAAAACGGGCATTTCGAACATGTGGTGGAAGTCAGCGGTGCGATTTAGAAGAGAAGGGCTCATTCTAGCCGTGTCAAGCTCAGAACACATGCAAGTGGACTGTACAAGTTGAACTTATCACCGCAAATGCATTCCGTTCCTCAGTACCGTAGTGCACGAATGTACCCACGGTTGCTGACGCCATTCTACGGCCAAATGAGTGTCCTCCTTCCAAAAATATCTTGCACCTGAGGAACAGGTTGTCTAGCATTGCTCCGCAGAGGATGAAATAGCAAGTAAACAGCGAAAGAGCAGCATTACATGCATTGTAAAAGTTACTGTGAAACTAAAGCAGTCTAGAATTAAGAAGGGAGAGATCTGTTTACGAAGGCAATAACCAACATTATTATTTCCCTTCCTCGACCTTAATAGCAGCGGGTAACGCAGGTTAGCCCGTCACGCACTGAGCCCTTCACATACATATATAAAAGTGATGTTTTTCGGCCATAAACTGGATGTTCAGTGTGTTCTCTTTCACTAGCATTCAATGAGATGGGAAACGAAGGAATTGTCGAAAAACTACAGCCGCTCTTCTCCCCGCAGAGCATAATATGTCCACACTCGTTACTTAAAATTGGTCAGATTAACCGACCTATCACTAGCACATAATCTCTTAACGTGAAAGTCCAGTTAGCAAATGCAACTTGATCAAACATCGGAGAACTTGCATTCCTCATTTTGCAGCCACTCATAAGTACTAGTGGCCCAGCGGGAACGACCACCCATAGCGAATCAGCTAGCAATGGCCGATACCAAACATTGGAGTTAAGCTAATGCATCGGTAAGAACGGAGGAATTACCAAGTGCTCTAGCATACATGTCGTTCGCTTTTGTCTGCAATAATAGTGGTGAAAATAGGAGTTGAATATCAGTGTCATAAAAGCATCTTAGATATGGCGAAGAATGACAGACAGTCCAAAATAAAACGAAAGTATGCATTGCCTTACCTGTTAAACTGTCTTTCTTTGGCTACCAGCGCATTCGGGGTTACTTTATGTGACGAAATGTTTTTTTAGGATTCACCTTTAATGTTATTCACTTAGTCGCGCGGTATTTGGGCCAAAATTAGGAAAATACCATGAGTAACACGGCACTAAATATTTTCCGGTCAATACACACAACAACAGCCGTAAATTAGTGCTTGATCCATTCGCTGTGACCCAAAATACCATAGGGAAGACCCTCTTTCCCGTTTATCAAAGCAATTTCCGTTCAGGTTCGAGGGCTCCATGAACTGCACATTCAGTTCGTTTGTGTCATTTGCCGGGCCATAACAATCGAGGGAGAGGCAGTCAATTACTTTTAAGCCGTTAAAGTTTTTTAACCTAATAAGAAATTTTAAGTTCACGAGTATATATGACCCAATATATCCGATGAGTTTGCATGCTCTCGAGACACTCTGTTCGACGACAATTCATAAACTTAATTTTGCCGTTTGATTTAGACGTTAGATTCGGATACGTACAAAGGAGATTGAATGAGTACAGGAAACAGCGGCTGAGGGTTTTGTCAAGAGAATGAACGTTTCTGTTTTATCTCCCATGCAGAGATTTTTGATCTGGTATGTTATACCTGTTGACAAGACCTCTTTTCAGTCTCCTTACTAAGTCTGCTGAAAAAAGGTATGTTATCAAGGTCACGTACAGCTCGTTGCAGCGTAAAACCACCCAGGTAATGAACAGGAGCGACAGTTTAACCACCGTGCGCTCCAGAGCATGGTGGGCTCAGGGGAGAAGTGAACTATGCGTGGACTAGTTTACAGTGATAGCGGACTTGGGCGGCACCTGCCGCACTCCCCCCTTCCTCGGCTCGTGGTCCTCATGCCAACTCAGGGCCGGAAAGACCGGGAGCAGGGTCGGGCTCAGCGGTTGACAAAGCTAAATGACTAAGGGGGGAGTACCATAGAGGCCGGATTCAGAGGCAGCCACTGCAGCGACACTCGCCATTCTAGGAGGAGGAGGACCGAGTTATTCTGTCAGTTAGCAGCATTCCAATTCATGGCTTTTAGCGCACCGTGATAGTTTCAGGACACGTCAAATCGTTTATAGTGAGGAATATGCGCCGAAGCGCCAAAGGGTCGCAGTACCTAGAGTCGACCCCTCTTTCCCTCCCCTCTCCCAGGCATTGGTTTACTGTCCTAGCGGACCAGTCATATGATGCAAGGATTGAGTTCAGCTGAAGGGTGTGGCGTTAGTCATCGCCTAGGCGTTTCACCACACACACCCCTATGTTTAGCATTTGTTATGAGTTTTCGGTCCGCATAACACGTGCCGTGCCACAATCCGACGCGATGTTGATGCGACATATCTTCCGCGTGGTCCTTTGTAGGGAAAAAATGAGGGAAACAATGAGTCCACCACATTAATTCCGGCAGTACTGAATCTCACACATCATCTCTTGAACCAACACAAGGTCTTTACCTGACTGACATCGTACTCGAATCTCTCAAATGCCTTAATGTTAACAGGTGGCGGGCGCTGTTACACGTAGTCAGGATAAAGCTTGCCTTTTTCCACTTCACCTAAATGCGGCTTAGTGTTTCAGTTTGAGACTGTGATGAAACACTTAGAGGTTATTTAAGCTGTCTCAATCTTCCCCAGACATATCTTGCTTTTATTCTTCCTGAAATGCGGCATCCCAAAACCAGAGCTGTCAGTGTGTAAGCCGTATGCAACAATATATGGGAGGTTGCACATGCCTGCATGATTGGACACGGGAATATAGGCGTGCATGTATTATAGATGGGCGTGACCTAATTTCCAGGTTGGGTGGGGGTTGATGTCATGATTAGTGTTCAGATACGTAGAATAAAAACTATGGCTGGGGTTACTGTTGTGGTTATGGTTAGGGTTAACGCTAAGACAGGAGAACAGACACCTCTGGAAATATAACTTAGGGTTACCTATAGTACTTGGGGGGTGGACCATATTCCCTTGCCCAATCTTCTACAGACCATCTGGTCTGAAGAATTCCGCTCCGTCTGTTAAGATGTTTCCCATTAGCGGCTGTCCAGAATCTACTTGAACATAGGCAACTTCTCGGGCAATAACGGCATTACATACAGGTACGTCCATACATCTTTGAAGACTGACAAAGTAACTATTATTTTAGCTGTTTATCGCAGCATATTAGGGAAGAACTAAATACATATAATTAACTGAAGTGTGGACATATCTCACTAAGTTGAAGGCTTTTACGTCGAAGCTGAGAGACGTTGATAACCGTGATAAAAAAACTGCTTCATCATTTAAAAAAGACACTATCTGTCCGAAACCTATCAATAAGCGAGAAGAGGTATGAAATGTTTTCTATATGGTCGAATCAGAAATAAGCCATATCTCGTAAAAGAAAGAAGGCACTGACAAAGTCCAACATTACAGCGACGAACAATTAGGGGAGTAGACGAAATAATTCGTCCCTATCTGAAGGAAAATCCCGTCACGAAAACTCTACTGCATTTGGGCGTGTCGATGCCAAAACTAACAGCAGAGTTCACCAGAGTAAGTACGAAGCACGGAAGGCTGGCCGCACGCTGTAGTTAATAAAAAACCTCAAAAGTTGGGAGACCGGGCGAATTTTGATAAAAAAATAAAGAAGTTTCTGCACAGCCGTTTAACGGCATCTTTCGTTAAAGTGAAAAAGGGATAAGCGTCTTTGTTTGTAAGTATTATTTATACTTTGTTTCACAAAAATGCTGTTCTACAACCTGTGTAACACGGACTACCTCGTGACTAATAGGACTCGTCTCGCTGGACCCGTGGGCCCCCATTCAAGTCAGCCCTATGGTCCTCGCTCGAGCGTCATCGGCCCCTACGGCTCTGCGGCGCGCTCGCCGAGTGCCCCAAGTCCCCGAGTGGCTCAACCAGCCGCCTCGACGCTCAGTTCGGCTGGTCCGTCAGCGGCTGCAACTGCTACACCGTTGGACACTAGTGGGCAAAGCGGTATCTACACAAACCTTATGAGACCACCGCTGCAGCCCTCAGTGCCAACGATGGCCACCTGGAAGCCCACAACAACGCCCACTATGCCAACTGCTGAGTCGATAAAATCGTCGGCTGCCGATGGCGCCAGCAGCACGGGCTACGTACCGCTGTCTCAAACAAGGGAACCCACGAGTTTGTAAGTTGTACTGTCTCTAACCAGTCTGTTTACTGCTGGAACTGAAATATCCCTCCGACGGTGGACATTTATCCGAGTGCCGAAGAGAGGCACTTAAGTGTATCGAAATTCATCTGCCATTGCGTCAAGTCCTATAGCAGGACCGCGGAGTGATGGCTTTGTGCTCTTCCTCTATACTTCTGATGTTTCGGGATGGATCTCTTCACATAATTGCACCGGTCCTTTTGCACGTGTTCTTCAAATGGCGGCGGGAGATAAACGGTCATACTTTTTGCAAACCACTCAAAGATGGATAGACTTTATGCACTTTAAATAGAACGTGAATCATTCCGTCCAAATATCAACCAAGGTCGTAAGACACTTAGGGTTCCGACGCCAAAAATCAGGAAGTCGGGACGTACTGGGTGGCGAAAGGAAATAACTGGTTCCATTGTTATCACAGAGAGGGTTAATGCGTTCTTTGGCAAATTCCCTGCTTTCTCATGATGTTAGTCAGACACTTGGATATCATTGTTATAATGCAAGATGGCTAACCGATACGGTGTAGCAAGGGCTTTATCCGACAGTATGAACACACCTGTGTAAATGTGACAACCGTCCGAATTAGTCCCTTTTCCAGGTTATATTACAAGCTGACCAAGTATTTGGGCTGGAGTGGATAAAACTAATAACCTCATTTTTACTATGACTCCTTACAACTACTTATTTCACAAAGGTACGCCGAGAGACAGCCTGAGGATGATGGTGTGAATTACACGAATATGTCTTCTCGTAGCCATCAAAGAAACTTCTCCAGAGCGCGGGAGTATGCACTTTACTAGCCACTTTATTTTGAGGACGATCATACCTCGTAGGTCGGAGTGTCCAACAGGCCGCTTGACATTCTGACAGCTCCTGTCGGTCGTCAGGTGGTACTCCGGCTGCCGCCGTCAATTATATAGTATTGCCGATGCGGGTGCGTTTACTGCCCCTGTGCGGTTTTCACTCCCGCTTATGAGTTTGTTTTGAGATTCAAAATATGTCTTGCAGGCGTTCATATTCGAGAAAAATTTTGCATAAGGCTAACCTTTATGCAGACGGCAAGATCTGTGTTGCAGGAGGAAAGATATTTGTAAAGTGTCTTCTAATCAAATGTTGCCTACGGCTCATAAAATTAGCTGTCGTCAGTCTACAATGTGCACATTCAAAAGACCGAAACTACCCTTGCTACGGTACTAAGACATAGGTAACTTTTACAGAAAAAGCCTATACCATTTAGGCCCATCTGGATTAGTCAGTTTCTCGGTTTGCATAAACAACGCTATAAAAGTGTAGGCACAACCCGACTGAAAGCACCACTCTTACTGGACGATACTTAAAAGGTTATTTTACGCACCCACCGATCACCCATTCAACATAAAGACCAAAAAGCCCTCAGCCGGCTAAAGGATCGATCGTAAGGGAGGATCTCCCAACTCCTTTTAAACAATAAAAACAAAAGATCTGCATTCCAGTGGCACAATCATACTCATTTATGAATATACAAAGTTTGGGGGAGTCAAAACAGATGCGAAACGATCCTAACCGGTGTTCATTGAAGTAACTCCAAGGACCACCTGAAATTGTGTAATCTGTATTTTCGAATCAAGGTTCTTGAAATGCGCATTACCTAGTTTTTTCTTACGAGGAAACTGAAACGAGTATTTGCTGTCTTCTAAAATTGTTGCCATTCATTTTTGTACGTATCTCATATATTTGTGAAATAAAAATGAACCGAGGTAATGTACCGAATTCGTATCTCTTCATTTTAAAATTTTAAAAGTATTACAAAAACTCATATGAGGTGATTGTGCTGATCTAGGAATTAGTTAACAGAAACGTGTGAATAACTGCACAAAGACCATCCAATGAGCTTGAATATCTCTTTTATTTTTTACCCATCCGACCTAGTTAGAAGCGCTGTATTTGGCAACGGAATTACCCTATTCTCATGGTTTGCCGGGTTCAGCGAAGGACGAAACCGTCTCTGATAAGACTTGTCAAATTGGGCATATTGCCTTTTTGTAGCCGTTTAGAGTCCAGCTTGCCGACGGTGTGTGTTTCTCATGGAAATTTGGAACAGTTGATGAATGATTACTTTTTTGAGGGCTTCTTATGGAGTACTTTCTTAAAATATGGTTGCCGTGTGCGATCATTTACTCATTCGGAACATTTGATTGCGCACTTATGTGAGTCACTTTCAGATCTAGAAAACCTTGCACTTGTCAAAGAACAGGTAGATAAATAATCTTTTTCGGCAAAACATCACCAATCCTGTACAGCTGTGTGTGTAGTTATATTGCCTGTGGGGGCTAGTCGCATGCCACCCGTGTGAATCTTAACAACTGAGGCTGGAAGAGCGGATGTGCTGAAAAGGTGTGTACGTACTGAAAAGTCAGAGATCGATGGGAACCGGTAATGCAACGTGGGTGGCAGGTGGAACCAAACGTAACTGGCAAAATCGACGCCAAAGAAGATGAGAAAGAAAGGGACGATGCGAGATGTGCCCGAAAACTATCGCAAGCGGTTAGCCATGGTCTGGGCAAACGTTAAACTTACACTGGGGTCTTACGTGTAATGAGGGTTGCGGATTTTACTTTTATGAGCATTGTTTCTAAATTAACCGGTGTGCGTCGACACAGAGGATTCAACTGACGTAGTTGTATTTTAAATTTTAAATGGTTTCCGCAGCACAGTTTGCTAATTCTATTGCTAGTGGTCCTAGAATCTCATACGAAATAGTCATGTTATAAGACTGAGGCAGCCTCTTCCGTATGAATAAATGCCTGCATAGATGCACGATGGGAGTGGTCTGAAACGGCCGCTTGTCCTTGACTTCGATAAAAAGAAAGAGCGGGCTTGGGGAAATTACCTTTGGTTGAGAGACCAGAAAGTCTAAATAAAAATAGTCGTTAGTCTGGGTCTCACTAGTTCAGTACAGACTGCATTCGACGTTTGGTTGAACGCATATGCCAACTTTAAACAATTTAAGTGTATGTGTGTATTTGTATAGATCAGTTGAAGGTTTGCTTACGATGCACTAAAAAGTTGCTTGGGTGGCTATGTTGCTATAAAATTTCGTCAGCATAACCTTAACATTAAAATTATCAAACTGACGGATGGAGCGTTGTTTTGCTTAATACAGTACTCTTGTTCCAGTCCCTGGACAATTGCCATCAGTTGATGTCAAAGAAGAAAGTTATTATTACAGTTTGTAGCATTATTTCAATAGGTGTTTTTGGCAGATTTTGAATAATTCATTTGGCCCAGCTGCGGAGCTTGTAGTCATGTGGGAGATTCTAGGTGGATTACTTAGGAAATCCTGTCTGGACAGTCAGCTTACTGTATTAGATTTGGTGGATTTCAGGCGTTTCAGTAGGTTGGGCGGGTAAACATGACCCAAATGGGATTAAACTCACGTCTTCCGGTGGGGCCTCGTAGCTCAGGTGGCTAGAGTGCTCGTTGTACTCCTTGATGTAGTGGGATCAGACGCCACCGAGGTCGCCGGACTTTCCGCATTTGTGTCAAAGAAGAATATTACTTTGGCAACTCGTCACTCTTTAGACAACTATTCCTCCGCAAACCCTTGTTGTTGGTCTTGCAAGCCAGTTCGCGGTTTCACAGTTTCTGAATCCGATGTGGTGGTCAAAAATATTAGTTTGGAAGTTTGCTCTGTCAGTTTGCATTCTAAGAACTACTTGAAACTCCCCCTTGTTTGTACTAATATTTACCAGAATACATTTTACACCATGAGGAGATGTTGAGTGTCATCCTCAAGCAGTTTTTATATTTTTTGCTTGATGCAGAATCGCTCCATGGAGGTTTTTTACTCCAAAATTGTTACAGAACTAAGTGGCATGAAACATCTAAAGACCAGCCAATAGGCTGAAAACTTCAAAACATTATAAAGCTTGCCATCATAAAAATTATAGGTCATATTTTTCCTTATGAAAATATCCTTGTTCATACAAATGATTCGAAACGTGGTGTATTCTGTTTAACCCACGGGTGCATACGCTAATAAACCTGAGGGAGAGGGAGCAGATAAAAAGCGGCCTAAACAGTGCCTGAAATTCCTTCGTTTACGATGACTTGTCAAATAAGAGTTTGCTTCACCTGTGCCGAGAACTTAACACCTCTTGATAAAAGGAGAAGGACGATTTAGTAGAGGACGGATATCAACTCCATTTTCCAATACATGCGATTGCTTTGTAGCAAAGGTATTAAAAAGTGATGAGTAAAACTTGTAGAACATGCGGTTGCAGCCTGTAAAACTTTGCCATTTCTAAAGCAGATCAAGCTGGTTTGAAAAGAGTATGACGTAGGTGCACCTCGGGGCCTATGGTGAATCAAATTCCTTACAAGATCTTGCTTACAGCCCTTACAATCAAGGCATATGACTGGCTCTTACGCCTTAAGTTGACTTCCGAAGCACTGTAGAACATTTTTAATTAGTCGCTCTGTTAAACTACGCCAAACTGTTGTGATTAAGTAATATATATGATGTTTTAGCGGCGAAATGCAATGAGGACGAGTGCCTCGATGTATCGAAGTAATATCTTATATAGAACTTAGGCACTAGAATGCTCCTTGTCCTTTTTGACATCCATATATGTAAAGACGTTTTTGATACTCATAACATAAATTCAAATTATGCCAAACGGGTGCCGGGGTTCATAGCTTTACCTAGGAATTAAAGGAGAGACATTAATTACAGCCAAATCTTCCGGTTTCTCTGACATGGTCTAACCAAAGTTTCTAATCGTTTGGAAAGCGTTAGCTTGCCAGGACACTATGTCTTCTCCCAGACTCGAGGCTTTACGTTATCGTCAGAACAGCTAACAGACGTTTTGTCACTATATTCTGGCTTTTCTACGTGTTCCAGATTCACAAGAACACGAACTTTGCTTGTACTTTGCCTGTAATTACGGTCAGTATGCTCAGTGACTTTATTTCTCGCGTCCGCTAGCAGTCGTTCGTTTGTGAATTTTATTAACTCATCGTCACAACCTGCACATTCATGGGTCATCTGCTGTTCTGGGGATATTGCACGAAGTTAGAAAATTGTTGGCAATTCTCACCACACCTCCATAAACTGTAAACTCCGATGCAGACTAGTATTCGATTCTTGTCAAAAACCGAGCCCAGCCGCTAAAAGTCTGACGTTTGCAAAGCAGGCGTGCACACGGTAGGGCTTGTGTGATGCTGATCTTAGAGTCCTTGCCAAGTCATGACTCAACCAATCATTGACGATAACCTCTCAAAAACTTGCATTCATACCGCTTGTGCCCCTCATGATGTTTTTGCGAAGTCGGAGACGGAAGAAGTAGGAGGGCAATATGAAAAGGAGGCTTATCCGAAATAAGTCCTTCCCAGGTAATTTGTGCTCAGAAATCCCCGTGCAAGACGTTAGTCTGCCTGCGTTCGGATGAAATCTGCGTTTCGGACCCAAAGTGACCCGTCTTTGTAGTTTGGATTACCGAATGCCCGAGACAACAATGCACGTGACTGTTGAATCAACGTTAATCACCACTGCATAGTTATGGTAAAAGCAAGGAGAGTTTGGTGGAGAGAAGAGTTATGGGGGTTGAGGCGGATGCATAGAATGGGACTCTGGGTGGAGTCGCCACTTGTTTAAAACTTGAGAGTGTTAGCAGTTGCTTACGTGAGTACCTTGATAAGCTTGATGAAGCAAAGCATTCTACATTGGATCTGGTGACCCTAAAGGACATGTACCATGGCAGAAGAACGTGGGGGCGTTTGTGCTTAGCTAGGTGTGGTTGCGTTGTACGGGGGCGAACGAAAGGACAATCGGTCGGTCCATATACAACAGTTACTACCCACCCACTGAAGTACTCCCTTTAACCACAAACACAGATGACTGCAGACAGTCATCGTCAACCAGAGCAGACAAACGTTTTCGAGTATGCCCGAAAAAGATAATGAAAGTGGGAGGAAGAGAAATATGCTCGGCGAGAAGGACATGGTAAACTATAACGGCACTGCCAAGGCGTGGACTACTAGATTGCCCAGTGGCTGGAAATTCTTTTCTGTTTTCTAGAAAGAAGTTCCTTCCTTCCATGCTTTCGGAGAAATGAGGGCGGATTGCCTTCTTTGGTGGTGTTGCGAATCTCCCGGAATACGACAGAAACACGTGTGTTTGAGCCGAAACTTGTCGCTGGATTGGGCGATGAGGTAAACTGCCACGTGTAAATATGTGTGTATATCCGCCGAGCACTTTGAAACGTCCAATTTTGTATCTGATCGTCTTGATCACCCCCCTTTCAGCAGAGTATGATGGTGCTCGGTTAAGAGTGGAGGTACAGGGCTAAACGTTTTGCCGCCTTTAACTCTCAGGTGGTCCCTGCTACTCAGGTAGTGGGAGTAATGATCGAGTAAAGAGGACGAACAGTCGCGTTTGTGATTTGGGGATTTAAATGGTTGAGTGCTGCTAGATGTGAAGAACGGTTACGAATATCAGCTTTTTTGTTAGCGTGGACTCGCAAAAAGCGGTTTGATAAGTAAACGTATTGAAAGAGAACTTCGCATGTGACACTACAATGCATGACCCATCTCATGAAATGTTGGCCGAAATTCTGAAATGCGTCTTCGATTAGGAAGGATTACTTAGACGGGGTTGTAATAATGACAAGTATGCAGCATAAGCCTACAGCATTGCGGACTCACCAGAATGTCGGCTTTTGGATGCACTCCTTTTTGATATTATGCAAAAAACGTACTTTGTAAAAAATGACCTATAAAGTAGCATGCATTTTTCCTATTGATTTTCCATGATCTTGTAAATTCAAATATATTTTATAGAAAGTATGCACAAAAATATGCTTTCTTTTACTCCATTGGTAGAAAATCACATTGCCTTGATATTTTATACCCGAAGAAAACGCACTGTAAATGGACAATTAACTTGTCTCTTGTGGAGATTCGCGCACAATAGTTTCGTGGCCCATCCGCATGTATGATGTCTGGTCCTGCTGATAACGCAACAGAGCAGGGAAACTCGGCTGTTTCGGAAAGACAAGTGGTCTATAAGTGGAACTATCATTGTTGTTATTCCATTAAACTAATTTCTGAGAGTGAAACACAATGGGGATGCTATGGATAGCGACGTTGGTATTCTGCATAAATTTGTCCTTATTACTAATTTCGAACGCAGATAACTTTTATCCTTGAAAGTTAAGGAAATTAAAACGGGTAGAAAAATTGTATGGACCTTAATTTTTGATCATGCAGGAAAGTTACTTTGCGTATTTGAGACAAATACTCTATGGGACAAGCCATTCTTTAATTTGCCAATATTTTCCTCCCTAACAGTACTTGTGCATTAGTAAATATGTTTTTTAACACAGTGGTGAAAATACGGGCTGCTATTTTCGCATACTGCACAGCTTTAAAGTAGTGGTCATCAGCTGAAATCTCTGAAGGAGAAATAAGCCGCAACATTTTCATCCAAAATTACCGAAATTATTTGTACTTGACACTATTTGCTTTTCCGCAAGTGTGTTTAATATCCACATTGTAGTTTTTTTAAAAGCTGGGGCACTTGAATTTACAGAAAGGAAAACCCCTTACTAGACGAATTTAAAGGGAAGTCAAAACATGTAAGTCATGTGAAGAATGACTCACATTCAAAGAATGAATAGCAACAGGATTCATTATGGGCATGGCGAGGTGTTTCCACACTGAAAACTGCAGTGATAAATGCTTTCAAATAACTCTAAAATGAATAAAACAAAAAACAAAATGCATCTTACATCTGCTAGTTTTATGTAATTTTCACTCTAAAGAGCACAGTCGGTGAAAATATTTACCAAGTGCAAAAAAACTTTCTCCACGTACTTGACCCTTGTCTCGTCTACAAGTACTGGCTTGCTTTAGGCTATTTTCAATCACGGCTCTTAACATGTCTGGCTCAAGCGCGCGAAAGTCTTCTCAAATATTGCCCATAGGCGGCTGAATGGTTCAAGACCTACCAACTCAAATCCAATTTTTCCGACTGCCCCAAAATGTCTAATTTTGTTAGCTGGAGTGAAGACGGGACAGTATAAATCGGGATTTTGCGCAATTATTCGTCCCGTGAAAATTTTCATTTACAACTGATTTGTGACTTTAGACATTCATTAAATTTGGTTCGTTGGGTTTAACAGTAGTTTATAATTGTCTATCGGCTCGTATGGGTACATATGTAGACGTGGTTTCATGCGTTGCAGTGAAGTCCATGAAATTTACAGTTCAAGAATAAATCTTCGATGGAAGGTTTCTGATTTTGACTGGCTGCACTGGCGTACGTGTGGATTTTCTGATTTACCGCTTAACACGGTACCTAGACCGGTGACTGACCAATGACAACCTACGAATATATTTTTGGCTTTAGTGTGCGTATCTCTGACATGAAACTCATGCATGTATGATATCTGCGTCTGGTCAATGGAGTGAAGATTCTCGAGGCGAAAGATAACTGTTTATACGCCTTGATTCGCTGCAAAATATTTAGTTATAAATTCACAAGGAGCAAACTTGCGGCATCTGGGACAAAAGTTAAAGAAATACTTGGTAATACTAGGGTTATTACAGCTTTTTATCGGAAAGCAATTTTTGGAACCCCCTACCTAAATGAGGCGCTTGCATTTGTTCTTGTTTTAAGTGAAAGGCGACACAAAAGTACGTACTTAAAAGTTATCTATGATGGCCGAAAATGAACGGCGAAAGCAGTCTTACTTTTGTTAGGAGAAAAAATATCTTTTGAATGTTTTCCCGAAACGCAATCCTTAAGTCAATGAACAGTATACATTTGGTATATTTCTCTAAAAATATTGAAGTAGATGCAGCCAGTTATGTTGTAGTGGTACGAACGTTACCGTTAAGAGATCAGCTACTTAAGTGTTTTGGCCTCGGTCCAGACAAAGAACATGCAAGAAACACCCTGTAATTCTTAAGATCGGTCCTAAAATACGGCAAATGTCTGACTTTATTTTGTGCTTTTCTCTAGTTTCCCAATATCGCCCACTCAGTTAAAGGTAAAAATCCTCTAGGTTGTTGGTCACGGACAATCTGTTTAGGATTAAACACCTCCGGAACGATTAAAAAGCTTTAGTACCGCATGAATATATTGCAGTGAGCATGGACGGAAAAAGCCCAACCTATCATTCCTCAGTAAACGAGTGAATAATTGCGGTAGGTGATAAGATTTATGGAATCTGGTCGAATCCTTAAATATTATTTATAACTTTGCGTATGACTGAAAAAAATTACGGCTGCTTTCTGAAAATTAAATTTACAATTGTTCACGGCAACGATATTCTGCCTTTATTACGTGCCACAGTCGGGCTGCTGGCTGGACTCGAGAGAGAAAGAGAGCTCCAAAGCACAACGGGACGAGTGAGTTCTGTAACGCGGTCTGTGTGCTGGCTTTATGTTTTGACAACAATTAGAAACTCACGTCTAGAAAACGTATTCTTCGCCAGATAACCTTCTCGTAGTGCGTTTCGCTACGACAGAACGTTGACAAAACTGGATAGCTTCCCTAGATAATACCATCCAACGGCGCACAGGCCAGCAGTCCAGTTGCCGGTCATCAAATAAATGGCGCTTTGCCATTGAGAATTTTAAATGCTGAGTCGGAGTAAAACGACAACATCAATGTCCACTCAGGAGATTTAAAGAACTTTGGGAAATATTTTATCTTGGGCTTTTTGAATACCTTTCATATAAGCAAGTTTGCAGATTTTTATTGAGATGCCGTGGTCCATCTCAAATATATCCATGAAAAATCCACTTTCTATGAAGCCCCATCACCATCCCAAAAAGCCGATGATTGGCCACTGGATGAACTGCGCTTTAACTTTATTAACTTGGCATGGGTAATGGCCATTTGTTCACTAGGTAAGTGACAGGTTCCATGAGAAAATCGACGGCTCATGTTATGTACTTCCTCAATCCGGTATTTTAACAGCAGTCTAATCCAGATTCTTACTCGCCCAGGCAAACAAAGCCGCCTGCGTCTGATTTGCCAATTCAGTCAGCCACAAGAATACAAGGAACTCAGCAACTGGGGTAAGTAAAACTATATTCGAAAACTATAGTACCATGCTGAAAGAAATGCATCAAAAGATTTTTTAAGGTGCAATTCACCTTCTCTACGTATGCATGTTTTAAGAGCAAGTCATAGAGACTAATTCAGGAAACAACCCTCCACTACTCACAAAGTCACAAATGATGACAGTCAGAAATATGTTGCCCCAAGGTTGCTGGACCCTTAGAAACTTGTTTTCCAGGGGATCTCTGTCCCGGACTCCCGGTTGCGGGGGGAGGCGTCGTTGTAACGAGTCTTTTTAAGCCCCCATTTAATCTGTGGCCGGCATCAAGAAGTGAGAGGAGACGACGGCAACAGTCGAGATCCGATACCTTCTCTAGTAGGACATTCAGCTTGACGGCGTAGTAGCTTAGCAATGGACCATTCTTTCTGCATGTCCTCTTCCTACGGACCTATGAGTGTGCACGAGGAGTCAACTAACAAACTTCATAAATCGATTAGTCACGGTATGCACTTGTTAGTCCACAAATGCCCCAGCGGGCGGATCCTCCACATTTGAGCGAAGAAGTTATAGAGTAAAAGTCAAAGTGGTCCAAGGGGAATTCACCTCACCCCTCTGCGTGGCCAGTGAGCGTCTACGAAACCTTTGTGAACGATCGAGAGGCAGACCACACGGGAACTGAGGATGTGGCGAAATCTATCATAGGATGACTTGTTCTGGGCCATCTCTCGTCCTCCATAGAAGTTAGATCGACCTGATGCAGCTGTTGAACAGCACATCAGAGATACCCAAACGGCTGCGTCAAGCTATGATCGGTTGGACACCGTTCGTTAAATCTGGGCCTGTTCTTGTCGGACCAGCTACCCGGAAGATCTGTAGGAGAGTGTAAATGCACATGGATGAGCATACCACGGTAATGGAGATGATTAAGCCCCTTTTATTTGCTGGCAGGATACTGCGTCACAATAGCCAAATATTTGCCCTCAGTGATGGCGGCGTCATGTACCGAAAAAATAGTCGGCACGGCTAGAGACACGTTGGATGTCTGACACGCAAGAAAAACATCCCTATTTCGTTTCTTGCCGTCATCGGTTGCTTACCATGCAGCATAGCTACAAAACAACGTACGGGATTTTGAGGAAGAGACAGATAGCAGGCAGACGCGTACGCCATTACCAAAACAGTCGATTAGGTTGACCACGAGTACAAATGCAAATAGGTGCAACAGCGACACCGCGGAACTCGGCAGTTGACTATGTTGTCCCTATGCCACTGTGGGGAACAACGATCACTATAATGGGCTTTATCTCCCTGCTCCACAGATGGCTGACTCCTTAGAAACAAGTCACCAGCGTAGTCGGACCTATCAAGAAGTATTCTGGAGAACATACTAAATGTAAATAAATGACGAAAGCATGCTTGACTTCGAAGTTTACGGGCAATAACATTACGGTTTTGGGAATCAGTTCATCATTTTAGTTAAGTATATGTAAGTAGTTAAGCATGTTTTTATCAATATAAACAGTTTTAAATTAAACCCAGTCAGTAAAACGTCTAATGCTACTCACAAGATAAGCTAAGATGATCTCATGTTCTTGAAAATGTTAACATGCAATTTGATCATATTTGGGTATGTCAACATAATAATAAAATAACTAGCAGTTCGATATACATTCTGCGTAACAGTCTGCAATGCAATGCGTATTTCAGTACTATGCTTAGAGACGCCGAATATTTTACAGACTACCTTTTTCTGAAAAGTTTTGTTGACAAAGTTAGAGGCACTAAAATGGTTGTTTTTGGTTTATTTGATATCATCATTCCACCACACTCGACTCCAAGGCTCTATTCTCGAATTTTGAACAAAAGTCATTTGAACATCGAGCAGTGCCTCCGCTAAAGCACTGCCGGCTCCTGTCATGTCGACCGAGACCGAGAGTATTTAGTTAGGTGATGGTGGCATAAATTGACCTATCCTGATTTCAGAACGGAAATGATCTTTGACGGCTTTACACTAGAGCCAAGGACGTACTATTCACACTGCGGATCGGGTGGCACCAACAGTTAATGATAATGATGATTCAACAATAAAACCGGACAGTAGAATGTCCACATCGGACTTATTTGCTGTTGTTGTCCGTGAGACTCCAGTCGGAGTCTGAGGGCTGCTAGTCACGATGATTGCCCGGGTAGGTAGTAGACCCTTTGCTCCTGGGCAAAATGAGCAGTGCCCAGTTCTGTCCTGCAGTCCCAAAGAAGGATAAATATTAGCAAGATGTCATCTAGTGTTGAGTTGAATTAAATGGTGCAGCTTGACTCATAATCTGAATGAAAAAAGCAACACTCATTGAGGTATACATATGATTAGTTCAAACGTTATGTTCGAACTCTCAGGCAAATTTTCTGAAGAGGTTCTCTATCAGAGCATCATAAACACACATTTCCTGCCTATCCAAATTATCCCAGTTAAAAGAGACTGTTAACGGCGTATCTAGTAAGCCAACTATTTAATTAACATACCTCTGTTGTCAGGATTTTTAGCGTTTATTAAGTCAAGGGCCAAATGTGTGGGCGCTGATTTCTCTTAAGTAGCTTATTTTTGTCGGTCACAATAAGATAAAATCGTCGTTGCATAGGGTAGACATGTAACTACGCAAGCGAAGTCGATGAAATGAAATGACTTTCCGTTTTGGCCGTTATAAAATGCCCGTGTACTGAGTAGTTTGATATAAATTTGGTTCCGGCCTGCCCATAGGCGGATTATACCGCTGCTTAATTTTGCATTTCCACCACCCTAAAGCTTGAAAATCCAACAAAAATATTTAATGTATTTCCATATAAAATTAGGGAATGCCAGCCCTGAGAGCTGCACTCCTTGCTTAGGCGTTGGATTCTGACGAAAATTGGCTCAGTTATAAAAAAGTAGCGTCTAAATGCAAATGCACGGACTGCAATAATGCTCATTAGTTATTATTTTAAATGCTGAAGAAATTTGTACGTTCTGTTCGATATTTTGACTAGAGCGTACTGAATTTCTTTAGAATTTGAAAGATTAAATCTAGGCTACTTAATCTGTTTTCATTATTTGGCCAAGTCCTTTGATGAAATAATTAACGTTTTTGTCTTTATCTCGTTGACTTCACAAAGGTTGACTTAAACGTCGCCCACACATCAATATTTTGAAGTTTCCGTTTGATTATAGTTTGCATCCTAAATACCCGAAGATGGTTTTAACTCGCATTTTTTAGTTTCCGAGAGAAGGTTGCTTACTTCCAAGCACAAGAACGTGGCACAAGACAGACAGTCACTCTCATGCAATCAGCCCAGTCAGTCGGGTATGTTTGAGATATTTCTGAGCACATTTTAAGTGCACAGTGGCCATTATTTGCTGAACGTCTTAATAAAAGAGGGAAATTGCTAAGATAATATCACAGATGTCATATTTCTTATGTTTTATAAGTAGCAATTGATTGTTGATAATGTAGACTATCGGAGTATCAACTCATATGACCCTAAATCTGTTATTTGAGGGTGAACAGAAACCGTGGTTGATTTGGATTTTCCTTACACAGTCCGCGAAAATAACTTGTTACTTCTCGACGATATTTCAGAAAATTTACTTTAACTGTCGAATAGTGAGAGGCTTGTTTGCCTCGACCAAGTACTGACCCGCAGCAGAACTAGTAAGGACTAGTTTACAGGCAACGCATTACCAAATGAAACATGGCCGTCCATATTATGTAATGTAATAATAATAATGAGAATTTAAGATACAAAAAACGATGTTACTTCCATAGTATGAGCACTCTTGTACATAAACCTGCACATTCACGAAACTGTGCATCCTACAAAGTTAAACGTATGATAACCATGCCCGAGTATTATGCCGTAGGAATAGACGAGCATAAAAGATCTTCCCGTTTTAGGCAAATTCAAAAGATTAATTATTAAAAACGCCACAAATTATTTTTGAAAAAGAGAATACACTAATAAGCCGGAAACAGTTTAATTATCTTCTAGCTCAAAATCCGTAATGACCAATGGCCTATATAATGTAACCGTGAAAGCGTTAAAACCGTCTTTCCAATTCCGTCATACTGGTGGACAGTGGAAACATAAACATCCGGTAAGGATTGCTCATATGGTCTTTCAGCAGGACATGTGGATAGGAATGCCCACATTGCTGGTATCTTTGCGATAAATTCCAGCTAAGACATTGTTACGGTTAAGGATTATGTTAGGGTTGCGTTTAGTGTCAGGTTTAAGGCAAAGTTGGAATTAAGTTTAGAGTTATGTTTGAGAGTGGTCAAAGATAACGATCATGGTTAGGGTCGTGACACGGCAATAGGTTTCCTTCCTCAATTTTCGCGCAAAGCAACCCGTATTATGGGGAACTTTTCAACTTCCGTCCCCCCAGGAAGGACACATATAATCTCATCATCTAAATACATCCATCACGAACTAAGTTAGGATTAGCTTCTGCTGTGTCGCAAAACACCATGTCTTGAGTAAAATGAAAGATTTCAGCGTTCACGCTGCCTACTTACGTTGTGGCACAGTGACTAAAATTGTTATTTTCAGGAAATCTTTACCTATATTGACTCGAGGCTCTCTGTCCTTGTTCCACGAGTACTAGACAACGTTTTGTTGACTATTTTACGATTGGCGCTTCCTGGATCGGTTTGGATCTTTCGTGTTTTGTTCCCAAAAAACGAAAATTTCAACTTCTTATTTCACCAATATGCTCTTTAAATTTTACCACACTTCATTAGTACTATAATTCGGTATAAAAATAATCTTTAATTACGAAATGCCCATATCTGGATAATGTTGTGGAAGTTTCTTCACGTTTTTTGTTTCATCTGACGTCCAAATAGGAGGATGAGTAATTGGAAGAGCCACATTTTCCTTTCGGTCTCTAGACAGGCCATTCATCACTTGTCGACGAATTAACTATAACTTGATAGTAGCATTTACAAACTTGTTTTGATTGGTGGACAGAATATGCGGGTTTCGGTTAACTTAGGAGCTCAAATCTAGAGTTTCCAGGTGACGTCTGATAGAAATCAGAAGTATGTAACTGAGATGTGTTCCTATTGAAGGCAACGTTGATCAGGATGTCCGCCGCCGCACATTTGCTGTCGTCACCCAAAAGGACATGATATTTCTTCTCGGCTCCTATTTTACTGACCTTGATGCCTCAGCATCTAAGTCACGTCCCCAGACCCTGTCGTGCGTGACATGTAAATTGTACGTCAAGGATCAGTCTTCCTCAGCCTGCAAAGGATGTTTTTCTTGTCTTGGGTAGGGCGTGTTGATGACTGACAATGACAAGTGAAACAGAAGGGTGGATTACAGTGTGCCTTGCCTTTTAAGGCAACGTCTCTCTATAAGTTGATTAATCAATAAGTGTAAACCTGATGTGCCGAAGAAGCCTGATCCGATCCGGGCAACGCTATAGAGATGGAACCTATTTAACTGTCCGTAGACTGTGGATCGGGCCATATGTGATTTATAGTAAAGGGAGTTTTGTGCGTGGGGCAGCACGCTAGATCGTAAGCTGACAAAATTTAAAAAACGCAGAAATTGCGTGGATTTTTGCTGAAAGTCTTATCCTATGCTTTTGTACGACAACGAAAATGAGAGTAGTAATTAAGCAAAAAGCAAAGAGTAAATTTCACAAACTAACGGATTTTGAGTTAGGGTGTGAGGTCGTGGGAAGTAATCGCTGTTGGCAGTGTTATTTCTGCAACAGCCTGCAAATATATGCCAAGATATATCCCCATCTGACACAGTCTACAGTCACCTGACAGTTAAATGGAGCCCTCCTCTATACCGTTGTCCCGATCCATACTCTATCGATGACCTACCACAACCAGGTCGGCCTTTTTCGACGGCATGAACATCAGTTTCTTCAGAAAGAAGGCCGCCAATCCCTATTTACAATTTTTCACAAACCTGTATGAATGAAATTTACACGGTGTTTAGAATATATAATAACGTTTGTTCAACTGTTCAAATGCTCGGCAAGTTATTTGACTCCTTCGACTGAATTAACTTCTGCCCAGGATCACTTAATTTTTCTCTAACTTTTCCTCTTGAAGTTCTCGCTTTTCTTACAGAGCTTTCTTCCTTATTTTTATGAGATCTATTTGCAGAGGTGCTGATTTTTTGAGGAGCGAAAACCTAATTTGCTGGAACCCATGCCACATAATTTGCCCGGGGGTTTAGTCGTGAGACGTTGTTCATTGTGCTTAGAAGCGGCGCGTTAATAAATGAAAAATCGAGCTTTTACTTGTGTTTGAATAAGCAAGTTATATCATTTGAACAGCCCTACTTTAATCTGTCCCGTTGACAGGTATAAGCAATGCAGTCTCTTACTTAAAACATTGATTTGGTTTTGAAGTGCAGTTTTCTTCGTCTGATGAATTGTCAATATGACAGTGCTGCAGTTAGGTTTTTGTAAAAGTGCACATGTACACCTGCTACCCAGGCAACTCATACTCTTAGGTGCACACTTTCAAATTATTTATTGTCATGCAAAAAGTAAATACTTTGATCAAAATGGAGTTTTCTGAAAATTGACGCGCGTCTCTTTCGGGTATGTAATCTGAAAGAATGGATGTGATGTGGGGAGTTTTTGATGGTAAATAAATGATTATGAAAACCGAATACTACTTAAAGGATCTTTATACTTTCAAAAGCAAATTAAAAGAATTAAGTGATAAAACTGGGAATCCTATGATTGTTTATGCTTTTTTGGTAAAAAAAACGTCTGCTGTCTACGTTACTGCGCCTCGGAAGGACCACCGTGAGAGCACAGAATACAGACCTTCGCTTTTTAAAAACCCTATTAAATCGGATGCCGTTGGATAGTTATTTCGTCGGGCGGACTGATGTAGGGATAATCACCTGTCATGTCTGAGTTAAAATGTAGGCGTCTACCTCCCTTCTCGATAGGTGATAGACTAGAGGATCACATATGTGGCTTCCCCAGGCAGGACACGGGATAGAAACATCGCCGCTATAATACGGATAACTTTGGGTTAAATTCCAGGGAGGCCATTATTTCCTTAACCAAACACTAACACTGACCAAAGTCTTGAGCACAAACATAATCTTAGCTCTGAATACTTCCTTAGCCCCGAATCGAACCTGAATTTAACTGGAAAAGCAACTGTATTATGGAGGACACTTTTATTTTTGAGTCCTGCCGGGGTAATAACCACATAAGTGATCCTTGCCGTTCTATGTCTTACGGCAAGCTGATTTTCCTGATCCATGCGGCTAATGTCGCTGTATTAGTTCCGACGGCCTTTGTATCGGTTAGTGAGCCTGTCTACTTTGTAGGTATTCATTGCTGAGGATAATTTTCCGACCTATCACCTTTGGGCTCTGCGGGTGACTCACGGCTATGTTAACAGGCGGACCCCTCTTTCTGAGAAGCGTATCGTCTTGACGTGATCTTAACTGAATGCGATACCTGTCATAGTGTTCTTTGTTTCGGGAGGTGTTAGGTTACATATCTCCCCAGTCTCAGGTCATCTAATGCCGGGTTCTTAAATTAGGAACCTCGACCTATGGTCTTTTTAGGATTTTTCTAAAGAACACACATCCAGACAATTAGTTGGCTTTTATATTTAGAAATACAGAATAAACTAAACGACGAATTGTCCTAAACGGGTCTCTATTATGAGAATCTTGTAGAATCTTGCAGGTGATTAAGCGCCGCTGATGATTCTCGATGAGGTTTTCAGTTCCTCCCTTAAGATCATGTTTAAGAACTTATTCAGTAGTTTTCGGTCTATTTAATGCCCCTTTCGTTCCTGAAAACCGACACAGAATCATATCTTGAATTGAGTGAAGCCCTTATTTTCCTTAGCGGTAAAATGCCCCATTGCGTTTGCATTACTGCTTAATGACTCTTTGTATGAAGATGGGACAATCTAGCCCATTACATCTAAGCAAAAGTAAGAATTCATCAAGGGATCACAAAGTGCATTAACACTTTGTCATGTTTTTTGTCTTTGTTTGCAGAAGTACCCATTAGTTCAAATACTTTTAAGCAGTAGTAGCCGAAAGGGGCTTTTACTGCTTAGCTTTTCCGTCCTGCACACATTGATTAGAATCGTAACTTATACGGTTAGTGAGAGCGAAATGCTCTTTCCCGGCACTCTTTCCGTTCCTAGACAACCATACATCAGACAGAGCCAAAGACGCCGTCCTCCGTTTATCATAATGCTTAAGTTCTACCGATATATTATTGGTTCAGGACACCGTTAGTTCCTCTGGCAGATGACGACAAATGAAGTAAATTTAGTTCTTTCTAGTTTTGCCTTCAGGAACCCGCTGTTTTAGAAGTAGCACTTCATACTGATCACACAGAAGACGAACCTTGGTTTTTGTAGATTCAGAAGCTATGAACAGCCCTTCCGCCAACCGGAGTCATCCATTAGAATGCCAACTATGGAGCGTTCGCCGTCACCGTAAGTATATTTCTTTTGGAAAGCGTGTTAATTGTTCTTTTCTTGATTGTGACATATTCGCCATATGAAGTAAAATCTGATTTAAAACAAGTAGACAACTTTGAGGGTGGCATGCCGATCTGCTTTACGTAGAATAAGCAAGACGTCATTGTAGTCTATTTTGGCTAGCAATGACACTTTCGTGAAAATTTCCGTCTTCTGATTGCTCATTTCCAGGCTGCGTGGCAAAACTAGGACGGAATTGCTCTATTAAGTATTTCAGTCTGTGCGAGCGCATTCTTTCCTGTTGATCATATAAAGTGTTGCTAACTTCCGTCAACCATTCGGTTCTTGTTCGCCTCTGAAAGCCAATGGGTCACTGCACGCGTATTTCAGATTAAATAAATAACCGGTATGCAGCAGCAGAGAATAGGAGGTGACTGATCACTGATAAACTTCAGTTCGATGAAATGCCTATGAATCATCTCTCCGCTCTCGCCTGTGACCATCGGCGTCGTTTAATAGAGCAAGTTTGTGTTTCTGGTTCCTGATGGTGGTCAGAGTCACGATTAACCTGATGAAGGCAGAATAAGTCATAAAGGATCTACATCATTTTAACCGCATTTTCTGCCCTCTCTCTTCTCTGCAGGAATTAATCCAATACGTTCTTAACCTCGAGGCCAGCTGACTTTAGAATTGCAGGGACTTTTTAAACTATAGGCCAAAGAGAAGCATAGGCATTTATTGTCTTAAAGTCAACAGATCCAAAATCACGAAAGGAGGCATCACAGGCGCATTGTGATCTGTCCTCTTGCATTATAAATGCTCTTGCGTAAAGCCGCAGCGGATGGAATAAGTGCAAGACCTCATGGCACCGACTTAAGAATTTATGCAAAAAATATGTAAGTTTAAATAACTGTTGTGGATTTTACAGAGTTTTTCGTGATAGACGTCAATTCTGACATCCGGATGCCACTGTGTGTGGTTTTTACTCGTTATAATGAACGGCTGAAAATCCGGTTCACATGTTCTTTCCAGGTGGGAATGAATTTTGTTGTTTAAACTATTTTAAACACACCCTAAGACTTTAAGAAAAATCAGACGTGCACTTTTGCGAAGTTTTAACTCATTTCATATAGCGAATGTGGCTTTTGATAGGAACATGTTATCAATCATTATTACACGGATTTCGTCTGCTAAGATATCAGACCCAAAAACATAGATAACCCGTTACCTGCCTTGTAATAAGTTGAGGTTCGAGGCGACAAAGACCATATTTGGGTGATGTTTCCTTTTTCCTGACAGACGTAGTCGTTTTTGCATATGCCAGTATGTTTCGGCAACGCCAATTATTTCGTAGTAACTGTAGAAAAAATACATCACTGGACTATTGAAAAGGATTTCGGGATTCGTCAAAGTTTTTGCTGCAAAGAAAACTGCAATATTTGCAAATGCGACATCCGGAACTTGCAGATTGGACAAAGGTAGACTTGAAAATGACTTAATAGACCAACTTGGATAAACTACCTTAACATAAATAATACCTTCCTAAGGTAGCATTTGTATGCATACCAGTAAAGCGTTACGTAAAGGAAGTGTTTGAAAATCGGGACTTGTAGATTGCAATCTTAATTTATTTGCGCAACTTTAGTCTATGATTCTCTTTGCTTTGTTTGCGTATGTGTTTCTTGCGTAAGTGGTATGTAACCGTTTGGCATAGCGTGCCAGACAAAAAGGAATTAAGGTCTTCTATAAGTGGCTTGTCTTCTAATAAGCTTCTAGAAATTTTCGATTACACAACTCTAGACAGAGCTGATTTCGAAGTATACCGTCCAGTAGATTATTCTATTAAAGTGCAAGTATGTCCGCCATGCAAATAATGAATGGTGGGCAAATGTTTCATATCTAAGTGTGTTTTTATACTCTTATAACGGAGTAATCCAACTGTTAGCTAAACTGAACGTCTTTTGCATTGCATTAGTCGCGTCTTGAATATACTAAGTAGACAATACATAAGCACTATCATTACAGGTCATCCATGCCTAAAGTAAAGGATCTTATGCATTTCCTTTGTTATTTTACGGACCCACGACCAAAGTGACAGTGCATCCTACCTGAACCATGCCCAGCTCTGCGCACTGATAGATGTATCAATCACAAGCCAGTTAACTGTTATATACTTTCTGACTGGAAGATGCCTGCCCCTTTTAAGGAAGATGAACACCAGTGAGGCATTTGCCGCCCTTAGTTTACATTGCAGGCATTCCTAAAATCCGTCTCACCTAAGCAACAAATCGCAAAGCCCGTGATGTTTGTACTCTGTTGCGATCGCATGTGTGTTTAAGGCTGTTCTTACAATTCAAGCATCGTGCTTTTTTGATGCAACGGGCCTAATAGTGTTTCTTGAGGTCAATAGGTGGCGTGAGGCGTCTATTACTCACTCAACTGACATATTTAAATGCGAGCGGTTTTTCATACAGGTCTGATCAGCCAACAACACAGCAGCCGTCGGCGCCACAGCAACCGACTGGGCAGAAGCAACCGAGTTTTAATATCCCACAACCACCTAGCACTATGACCTACGCCGAAGGGCTATCTAAGCCAGATCCATACGGGTATGATTAAAACTAAAGCTCTTGTTTATAAAACAGTAAAAAATTAAACTTGTTGTCAGGAAAACCAACCACTAACAACGGCTTACGCTTTAGTTACGTGCGCTACCAGAAATAATAAAAATGTCTCCTTGCAGATCCCCCAGAGACTTGTGTTCTACGTACTTGTCATTATTATTTACTTAAAATTTTTGACTGTAAATATTTCATCATTATATCCAACATATCTATGTCAAACCTTCCGCAAAGTCTTTTCAGAGGTATTATAGATTTTTAAAAGCAGACAAAATATTTGCAGAAACGAACTTTATTATCCTGCCAAATACTTATCAATTAAATACCATTGCACTTAGCTCCATGCCATTGTGACCGCTTATGCTATGTAAAGCTCTGGAAGTTCAAAATAATTGTATGATATATTCAAAGGACTTCAACAATTTGGGACTTAATTTTTCAAGTTGCGTGCTGTAAACACCGGCATACAGCTAACAATTGCATGCATTCAAAATATATAGTAAGTATTAATTTATATAACTGGACGCTATACGCTCAAACAAGAAACCAGTGTGCCGTTTACCTATTATTCTCAAGTCTTCGATTTTGTACTTAAAGGAGCGTATGTCAAACAAACCTACAAACGCTTATGCTCACAAGACAAACGTTAGCGACTGAAATTGATGACGGAATTATCTGAATAATTTATTTCATCATGACGCAAACAGATTTTGTGATGTTGAAAAGAACCTCGTACAAGTCAGTCTGATATTTTCTAGATAATATAGATGTACAGTTCAAGAGCGTGATAATGAGGGAACTATATTTATATTCAGTCATTGAATACTGTCTGTGTACTTCAGGCTTCGACTGCGAGGATATTTCGCCAAAGCTATTTCTAACACGAAAATGTAATTTAATGTCTCTGAGTTAAAACAGTTTCGATTTATCTTTGCGAAATAAATATTTAAAACAAACTTATGCACAGTGATCAAGACGATTGAATCTCCTTTTAGTTTTGCAGATATTCGTAGTCCTATCCACTGTAGTTACTTGTTCGGTGATTTTAAAAACGTTAAAGAGAACATTCCCTCATGTTAACTTTCCAACAAAAAGAAAATGCACAAGTTAAATTTTGCGCCTGGGTAAATGTTTCTGCTATTCCGTGTAACTGAAAACAAACAATTATTGCTTGGGTGCTCTCATATTACATGCGAATGGCCTTCAAGTTAGCTTAATCAAGGTTCATTTTGTTACGTATAATATAAAATTCAGTTTCAGGGGAAGTGACCTACCCGGCTGGAGACTTTCTATGTCAACTTCTTGGTCGCGTTTCTTTGATCCGGCTAGGTAATCATGGTCGCAGGGTCCCAAGCTATGCAACCTCTGCTCATAGTAATTCTGAAAATTAACCACAAATCTTCTATTCGCCCTTCATCGCTGTACACTCCGCAGTTTGTTTTCATTCGAAACCTCAATAACTTGCATCCAATCATGTAACTCATATTAGAGTTGGGTGTTTCACAAACGTCTTTTTCGAACCGTAAAAGCTCTACAATATTTAATCATGGCGTCAAACACTACTGGTGAGTATATTCAGACAACATGGAAGCTCAAGAAATTCCTTGAAGACATTTCCGAAATTGACTCATCAAAACATTTCGAAACCTTTTGTTCTCCATGTGAAAATACTAATATCGTTTAGCACACTCAGCAGACATTTTCATTCCTATAAGTTTTGCTTTAACACAAACATCCAGCATACTTGACGATATTTATGCGGTCCCTGATTGTTAGAGTTGAATTGGACAGTATATTGCAACTTTGGTGCTAATAAAAGACACCACTTTACAAAAAAGTGGTTTCAACAACGGAAGCAAGATACTGTCTAGTTTCAGCGAGCCATATTATCTGCAGCCAAATGGTTTGATCAATTAAATATTCACAAGAATTTTGGTTTTTCCGCGAAAGATAATAACTAAAGTACGCAGCGATACGATTATGAGATTTTAATGGCCACCCAAAAGTTTTCTTTCAAAACGTTGTTTTGGGCTTCTAATTCAACAGAAGATTGACTTGCCGGACGCATGGAGGAATGTATTTAATTTGAATTATTGAAATTTTAGCAGGTCATTTAGTTATGCATGTTTTCATAATAACATGAGGCAGTCATGCATCAGCCGGATTTTTTACATAATTAATAGAATATTCGGTACATTTTCCCGTATGCGTTTAAAACGAGCACCCAAAACAAAATTCCTTGATACCAACAAATTTCATGACAACCTATCAGCTACACACAGGTGCAGCAAACTGAATTTGCACGGAAGAAATCAATGCAAGACGGCACGCAGATAAATCACTAAAAATGACTCCTCACATATGCACTTTGAGAAATAAAAAGAGGAAAGGTAAGCATGAAAAGGCGGCATTCAAATCGAAGGAACAGACGATTACAAGGGTACTTTAGGGTTGACCTCGTACTCCAGATCATAGCACAGGTATAATTACGCCCAGCGCACGTAAGCTGCTTTCAAGTAACGCGATGATAGAGTTGGGTGTGCCCGAAACAGTACCCAAGATGGTGTTTTGATGTCAAAATAATAACCGTTAACAGGGAGGTATTTCGAGATAGAAGAGCCAGAGATTTTATTTTTCTGTTTTAAAAGCCATTTAGACAGGTGCTCAACCAACATGCCAGTTGTTATCAGGTTCTTGCAATGCATTCGCACCCATAGTTTCATATGAACTTATACATACAATCCAAAGTGGCGTGCAATGACAAGGCATTCTTTGCCCGTGGAATTGGAAAACTATAGTAAAACTGCTGAATATGAAGTCAGCCGCCTTGTATGTCCCTCCAATACTGTATCCTAATCGCCAATTAATGGTCTTTTAGATGTTGTCCCTTTTAAGGTGTAAGAATATTACAACACGCTCTTTCGGAACTGATTGTTCCGTCAATTCTGGTCGAAAGGTATTGCCATAATTTTGGGTGATGTGTTCTTGATAGCCACGCTTGAGCACGAATTTATTTAGGCAGAGTATTTCTGCATCTAAGCTTTTGACAGCGTAAGTGTTTTTGCTTTTTGGAGGAAAATGTACATCAGATTTTGTTTCCATTTAATTGGTATGAAGAACAGGAAATGTAATTTTTGACCGCTCCATGCATTCCTATGGGAGGCGGATCGTCTTATTAAACTGTCTTCCTGCTGAAATATGAGGGCGTCCAGGAAAGATAGCACATTTCACTGCTCCTTTACTGCAGTTGTTTTGGTTTTCTGAGGGAGACAGTTTAGGCTAATAATTGGGTCTTTGGCTTCTTTGTTGTCATTGACCATCGTTAATATACCATCAACATATCTCCTGGATAGTGTTTTCATGTTCAATTTACATAACACATTTTTCTAGTTGACTCAAAAAAGATTTCATGCCTGTTTTAATAAGAAATTATCGAAATCGGAATTATGTTCTGTCCGTCAAACTGTTTTAATTCTACTCTTATGCTAACTAAGGAACGATGCTTTTTTGCAAGTAGGAAGGACGACTTGCAATTGGTTTTGTTCTATGACCTAGTTAGAAAAGTAAACGTTATGCACATTTAATATCTGAAGTTTACGGCAAACACTCTCTAGTTTGTGTTGAGCAACGTATTTTAGTTTTTGTCAAATATCTTCTTCCTACAACATAGAAAAATTTTTTCCCAAAAATATTCATGAAAATTTATGAACGTGTTTTTTTACTATAATAGTGCAGCTTAAGAAAACGTAAGGTTATTTTGTGAAATACGATAATCCTTGTTTATAACTGTAAAGCTAGCACGTAGTAGTAAACGGTTATGCACAGTGTTAAAAACAGGCGTTGAACCACAAAATGAAATCGCAGATGGCTGCTTCTCTATCTTACCGTATTATAAAAGCAGTTACAGTGCGTGACCTATCTCATGAAATGTTGGCTGAAATTCTGAAATGCGTTTTCGATTAAAAAGGATTACTTGGTCGCGATTGTGATACTGATTACCTTAAGGCATATTCTTATAACATTTTTGACTCGGCAGGATGTCGGCTTTTAAATGCACTTCTTTCCAACCTCCTGTAGAAAGCGTGGTTGGTGAAAAATGACTATTTATGTAGCATGCATTTTTCCCATTGATTTTTGATGGTCTTGGAAATTCAAACATATTTTATAGAAACCACAAACAAAATATGCTTTCTTTTAGTCAATCAATAGGAAATCACGTCTTCTTTACATTTAATACTTAAGGAAGGAGAATAATTAGGTTTTAAAAAAGTTTTCTAATTGCCGAAAAATTTGGAGCCTGATCATTCGTTGCATTAGCGCTTAGTGATTACACTCTACAAGGTACATTCGTTCCGCGTAAAGAAAATCCCATATTTTTCTATGTCCTTAAAGAGATATCATACAGGGTCTATAAAATTTTGCAAGGGATGCGGACCATTTTGTACATTTCATGAGGAGCAGTGGTAAACGGCCAGGTACGATGCTATGTGAATGGACATATCGCGGTCTTAAAAAGTCTCATAAATAGAAACTTTCTTAAAACCTAATTATACTCCTTCCTAAAGTATAAAATATAACGAAGACGTGATTCTCTATTGGTTGACTAAAAGAAAGCATATTTTTTATGGTTTCTATAAAATATATTTGAATTTGCAGGACCATCGAAAATCAATGGGAAAAATGCATGCTACTTAAGTAGTCATCTTTTCACCGAGCACGCTTTCTACAGGAGGTTGAAAAGAAGTGCATTTAAAAGCCAATATCCTGCCGGGTCTAAAATGTTATAAGAGTATGCCTTAAGATATTCATTATTACAACTGCGACCAAGTAATCCTTCCTAATCGGAAACGCATTTCAGAATTTCAGCCAACATTTCATGAGATAGGTCACGCACTGTAGGGATTCGTGGATTAGAATCCGAAGGAGATCAGGAAAAACCTGATAAAATGTGCAAGGAAAATTAAAAATATATGACAATTTAACTGCTTTAGTTTGCACATTGTTTGAATGCTCCATTAAAAGCTCTGTGCTTTCGTATTCTGCGGACGCAGACGGCTACTGAGGACCAGGAAGTAAACTTGCTGTGACAAAAATTGGAGCATTGTTATGTCGTACTTCTAGAATAATATAACTGTCGGTCTCTATGCTTTGTTTCTTCATACATCCGTTTTATCACCTTCAATTCCCCTTTTTTATGGCTCTCGTTTTTTAAAGAGAGTACTGTCTGAGCACTAAAACATTATCATTTCATACACACACTAGTAGACCATTCCAGCACTTCTGCTTAGTGACGATGAGACTAAGCGCAGAGCCTGGCGTTGTGTGGAAGATTCCGTCTATACGTTCAACACTCACTAACGGCAATAATGTGTCCTAAGCATCGGGCCACGCAGTAGATGTGCTGGGTCAACCCGGGTAAGAAACGGCGTTTCGGAAGGCACTATCGAGAATGCGCACCCATAACAAATAAGAGGAGAGACACACTTTATTTCTGAAGTATCGTTCCACAATTTTCAGCAAGAAAAGCTTCTTTTCACATAGGATATAATGAATACGAAAGACAGATAACACCGGAAGATCACATACGATAACTGCCGAAACTGCTACTGTCCACATCATGAGTAATCGCATCAGATTTGGCGTCCTTCAAGATGATCCTAGCGTAAAGGTGCAGATGACGTAACAATTGTAGTTGAGATACAAAAGGTGAAAAAACAGTTCATAATAGGTAAAATAAGCCAACTGATATACGTATGGGAGAAATTCCATGTGGATGAAGATAAGAAAAAAATGGCAGCTCAATTTCAAAAACCCATCAATTGGGCTGCGGCAGCAAGCCCAGTTACCGGTTCACTCCGCACCAATTCGGATCCTTGCGTCCCTCCCACTTGTGTTGTTTTATAAAATTCTGACCAATGTTGGCTGCGAGAGGTAAGTGTGGTGGCACGCCTAAATGCTGGTTTGCGTCGCATCAGCCATCTTCGTGCTCCCCCGCCTCCGTTCTTACCGACCAGCTCTTGTCACAAGGCTCAGGTTAGTGAAGTATGAGTGCGGTAGGTGCTGCGAAAGTCTACCATCACCATAAAGCATTTCATACCCAAGTTACCCCCTGATCTCACATTGCTGTGGGGCATAAAGCGGACAGCATTGTCAAAAACGATCGAACTGTCGTATGTGCAGCGGTAGATAAGGGTTCATACTTGCTTACCCTACTTCAACAAACATCTGCTAGGTGACAAAAACGCCCTGGGAGTGGAACAGTTATAATCCTGTTGGACTCATCAATTAATCATCCATCATGATATTTGTTCATGAAAATTAACTGCTGAAGTAACGAGTTTTACACCTTTCCTAGAGCCACCGTCGCTTAAGCTCCCCATTACTGGTTTGCGTAGATTGAATTTGGTCATGTTCACGCAGCTTATGTGGCAGTTTACTAACGTTCCATCCTTGTGTACGCAGAACTGACTTTAACCACACTGAAAGGCCCACTGATAATAACCGACGTCCCCTATGACCTTGATGCATTTCAGGGTTTTACGTCGGGTCTCCTGTTCGTCCTAGATATCTCTAGTTATTCAACTTCAGAAAGATAATCACAATTTTATCAAAATATTCGGAAAATTTTGGGGATTTTCAACTGTTCCATTTTTCTACACACTAAATTAAACGCGTATTTCTCAACGGGAACTTGCAGATTATTTGACCCAAAAGCTTCAGACGCCTATTCTTTAGAAAATCCAAACGACCAATATGATAGCCCGTCATATTTAGCCGAACATCAGCAGATATCAAAGAGAACAGTTAAATTATGATGCAGCGTACTAACGTTCCATTCATGTGTACAAAGAACTGGTTTTAACCAGGCATTTATTGGCCGGGGATTCAATAGTAACTTCAGACTTGTTTGTAGCGGTGATGTTTCTCAGTACGATGGGGTAACGCTAGCCGATCGGTCACCACACACTCTTTTATTGTTATGCATATAATTAAATTCTACGGGACTGATAGAACAGCTTTTGTGCTGGGAACTTTTATAATGCAATATCGCATACAATCGTTATCTTAACATTACAGTTATGCTCTTCAGTATTCGTATTGACGTAATGCACCTTAGTCGCGAAATTGTTTTTCTCGAAACATCAATGTAATTTGTAAACCTTCATCAAAACTGACAACCGCATGCGCGTGTAATGTACTTACTTGTACTTGATACGGCTGCGATTATGCCTGATCTAGCTGGCCTCGATGATGTCCCGAACTGTACCTCGACACGCATGACGGTACGCGGCAGCAGACCTGGATAGCTCAACCCATTCTCTTCGCCAACGACGTAGACCTAATACCGAAGGTCCAAGAACCACCTCCATGTCTTGACGAACTGTGTCGAGCCAGGTTTTGAACTGACCCCCTCTTCGACGCCTCCAATGGGGCAACAGTGCCGGATCGAGGGCAGGGCTGAGCTCCTGAGGTGGAAGACGAAGGACATGCCCGAACCACCTCAGTCATCTTTCTTGGATGGCCTGAGTTATCCTTGCGATGTTGTCGCAGCGAGCGCGGGCTGTCTCATTTGAGACGAAGTCGGTGAACTTCACTCGAAGGATGGTCCTCAAGCAGTGGTGGTCAAATACCTCCAGTTTTCGCTCGTCCTCAACGCGTAAAGCCCAGCATTCAAAACCGTAGAGAAGGACGGACCGGACAGATGCACGGTACACGCGAAGCTTAGTGGCGATGGAGAGGTCATGTCGGTTCCACAGGCATTTCCGAATGCTTGAGAAAACCCAGCGGGCAGCATCAATTCGGGAGACAATGTCGTCCTTCCTCTGTCCAATAGGCAGCAGCCTCGCCCCGAGCTATTTAAAACTGTCTACTTCATCAAGTTTACAGCCATCAATTCCGAGGGGTACCTTCTCCTGGTCAGGGATGCAGCTTGAAAACACTTTGGTCTTCCCAGCTTTTATGGATAAACCGACAGATTTACCGACCTCGTCCACTCGTGACACCATAGACAGCAGATCACCAAAATTTGAAGCAAGTAAGGCGATATCATCGGCATAGTCGAGATCAGCCAGTCGGTGTCCGGGTGCAAACTCAACGCCGTCACTCTCTCGTAGGGCCCTCCCGAGAATCCAGTCAATAGCGTAGTTGAACAGAATGGACGACAGGATACAACCCTGTCTGGCGCCAGACCGAATACCGAACGGTTGGGAAAGATTGTTGCGGACCAGGACTCTCGCAGTAGTGGAGCGATAATAGGCCTTGATCATAACGATGATTTTTGTTGGTACTCCATCTAGCGCTGTTATCCGCCACAGGGGCTCACGGTGAAAGGAATCGAATGCAGTGGCAAAGTCAATGAAACATGACGGCCGCCGTCGGTTGTTGGTAGCTATGGCGAAATTCGAGAATGCGCCTCAGTGTAAATATCTGGTTTGCGTATCCACGTCCAGCACGAAAACCGGATTAGTTGGGTCTCGTCCTTGAGGCGCGCACAGCCTGGAATCGCCTGAGTAGGACAATAGCGAAGATCTTCGCAACAACGTCGATAAGACTTATGCCGCGGTTGTTCTCGCATCTCGTCTTATCTTCCTTCTTGAGGATAGGTACAATGATGCCTAAGCCCCAGTCATTAGGAACAACCTCGTCTCTCCACGCTCGTTCAGTCACCTCATGGAGTCAGGGCGCCAGAGTGTCGACACAAGACTTGAATACTTCAGCGGGTATACCGTCCTCTCCGGGTGCCTTATTGTTGCGCAACTTTCGTATGGCATCGGCGACTTCTCCTTCAGAGGGGGAGTCACATGGCACTGCGTAGGTAGGAGAGGGAAAAAACTCCGCTGCAGAGGAGAGCAAGGGCGAGGTAGGTTGAGTATCAAAGTTGAGATGGTGTTCAAAGTGCTCACGCCAGCGCTCGACTTTGGCCGAGTTGTCAGCAATAAAGCCGCCGTTCACGTCACGAACAGAGTCACTCAGTGTAGAGGGCTTACCACTAACTTGGCGGATCAGACGGTAGAACTTTCGAATGTCACCAACGTTCGAGGCCTGTTCCATGGAGGTCGCTATTTCAACCCAATATTGCTTCCGGTCATCCCTGGCCGATTTTGCCGTCATCTTCCGAAGTTGGCGAAAGTAATCATCGTTGCGGGACCTAGCTCTAGCCGTCTGAGCAGAAAACTGCAGGGTTCTTCCGCTGATCCAGTCACTGCGGCGTCGCTGGGTGTATCGAAGGGTTTTCTCAGCTACCCCATAGACTGAGGTCTTCAGTGACGACCACTGATTACTGACTTCTCCATCGGCTCGGGTAATAAAACAGGTCCATATTTCTCTGCTTAGGGCCTCGGCAGTGCTGGTTTGCCGGATTTTTGCGACATCAAGGCGTCTAGGACGTGGCATTTTTGGCGCGGATGAGAGATGAACTTTCAGGCGTGTACGGACGAGGACATGGTCCGACCCATGGACGTTACCAGTCTCGGCACCACGCCTCGATCTGCTATCGTGAACCCAGCTGCGGAACCTTTAGCTGACTAGTATGTAGTCAATCTGACTGGCCGTATGACCGTCGTTTGAATACCAGGTCAGCAGATGTTTTTTAAGATGCTGGAAACACGTGTTGGTGACAAGCAGTCGGTTTCGATCAGCGAAGTTCAGCAACCTCTCACCATTTTCACGTCGGGAGCCAAGTCCAAAGCGCCAAGAGGATGACTGGTTGTGGGGTCTCCAGGTCCAGTTCGACCATTCCAATCGCCAGCAACAATCAGCAGATCGCGGCGAGGTAGTCTGCCAACTAACGCTTGCAACTGCGAGTAAAACGCCTCCTTATCGCGCTGTTCAGCAGCCGAAGTTGGTGCGTACACAGAGACGATGGAGATGTTCGTGAAGTGACCTTTCAGTCGCACGTAAGCCATCCGGTCGTTGACTGGTTCCCAAGCAAGCAGCGCGAGATCCGCTTGTTGCGATAGGGCGATCGCCACACCGTGTCGACCAGAGGAGTCGCGAGCGCCGCTGTGGTACAAGGTAAAGCGTGATTCAACTCCGGAAATCTTTATTTCACGGGAGCCTGAGTCAGGGAGTCAAACTTCGGACAGACAGCAGACATCCACTTTGTACTGGAAAAGGCTGCGTGCTGTCAGACTTTGGGTACCGGGGTCCAGGAACGTTCGGACATACCAGCATCCAATACCGAGAGTCCGTCCACGATTGAGTAATCCAGCTCGCATACTATTCGCCCGCACCACTGGAGCAGGGTTGCGGAGCGCGTCGGTTCCGGCGGACGCCGTAGCATGGGTCGTAATACTGTGATCGGACATAGTTCATGAGGTTTCTTGGAAATTGCGAATACATGCGGGTCGCCAACAGCCGTTCGGATTGTTTGTTCGAGGTTGTCTCCTCTAGCGCTTTGGCTTAAAAGCCTAACAACAAGGCAGCGGTGGCATGTAAACTTAATTAATGGCGGTTTACGGTCGCCATGTCGCAATGCCATCATAGGGTTTTGCGGCTTTTTATAAGGCTTTCAGCGTGCCAGACAGCCCACCGCACCCTGGTATCAATGTCGCTGCTGGTCCGCGACTGCTTATTCGTCAGACCTCGGTCTGCTTATTTCGCAGCTAACCTTCACTGAAGGTCGTCCCAGTATCCGCCACCTGTGGACGCGCCGAGTAGCCAGCAGCTAGGCTAACGGCGCGTGTAATAATGTCTTTACGGCCCATAGGGTTGATGCAATATTGTAAATAGCCTAGAAATTTTCTTAAACATGGACAGCTCACCGCGTCTGTGGAAAGCCAACCCGGTGAGATCCTGCTTCCACAAAAGTAAGTTGAGGCAAGCTTATATATGACAACTCTTTTGCCAGAAATTAAAGAGGAAATATTAACACTCGGGCGATTTCCTCTCCTAGACGTAAATTTATATTCAACGTTGCCTGTTCAGTTTTGGTTATGTGCAACCATGCTGTCGAATTATCACTTTGCTGCCATATTGCCTTGTTAACTTGCGAGCATTCTTCTGGGCCAGTCAAAAACAAGAGCATGTTACGAAGCAGTTCAGAAAATCTCAGTTAGCCCGTCGATAAAAATCTTGGGGGGATAAACCAAGTTTGACATCGAAGTGACGTTAAGCAAACAATCCTGATCTAACGAATACTATGAAGGCAAATTTTGCTGCTCTCGCGAACAGTGACGTGGTTGCGAGCAGTCGGGAATAAAAAAAGTTATGCTGGGCCAAGAATGAAAAAGTCGAAACGAGCACTTATGAAATTGTTTGCAACCACCATCCGGCTAAACCCCGACCGATAACCGGAAAGTTCCAGAGTCTGGAATCAAACTCTTTGACTACCAGGCATACCACTGGACTAGTAAAAGTAGAACGTGGATGGCATTTACTTGCTGGTACTATTTGTTTGCTAGTTATAAGTCAGTTATTAATATTGTACAATCTCCTCATGCTTTTGGCCGTGAAGATGTCTGACGTTATGGTTAGAATTTTTCATCGCGAAAACTACCCCCGCACTTCTGTTCCTACGTTTTCGCAACTTATTTTACTTAATCACATCTGCCTAATTGACGCATTTTGTATTGCATGAAGTACTTTTCAAGTCATCGGTTTTTTGTTTTTGTTCGAACGAGAAAGCAAATCATGTACTTTAATTTTTGATAAAGGGAGCATACTTACACCAATTCCTTCGCCTTCGAAATGGTGCCCGTGACACATCCTGCTACACATCAGAGCGAGTATGCTGTCCTGCAGTTGGCTTGCAGACTTTTTTGTTGCCGCCATGTTTTGCGCTTAACTTTGCGTCTTGTTTAGCTCTCGTGTTCCCACTATTGATTAGTTAACTATAGTATTTCACAATTTTCGTAACCTTTTATCATCACTCAACTCTTCTCTTTCGATTTATCGGATGCTTTATGTTTGTAATAGAGGACCACCGAAAGATATTTATTGTAAAATTCCTCACTATTGTGCTGTTAGCTTCAGACATGCACTTTTATTTATGCTAATTGCCTTTGAAAGCTTGCACGCTGTAAACTGATATCACACCGGCATCTTTACCTTGCTCCCCTCTATCTGATAACGTATTTCTGCTTTTCTCCTCATTCCATGAGGCGAAAAATACTAATCTAAACTTGGTTTGATATTTATGCTTGATCATAGCTTTATCCGATTATCTACTTAGCAATGGGGCTAAAGCTATATGCAACTGTTGTTATAAAATTTAAATTGTCCCTTTTTCATTAGTAAATTAAGTCAGCAAAACACCGGTTTACTTATTTCGTGCGCAAGTACCTGGGCCAATCCAAAGACCACAATGAGGTATGTCATGTCCAGTTTTAGTGTACCGAAGACCATATTGAAGAACGTCGGTCGAACCTGTCGGAGTTACTGAATGACTCATATGTCGGAACGGCCTATGAAAAATCGATAGTTAATACAGCTAAGGCACTTCAAAAACTTAAGACTGACGTACGGAGTATTTTATACTGTTGTGACTCTCTGCATTGTTCGGGATTTGCGTCTCGTCTACAGTGCCAGGGGCGAAATTGTGGATCTTCACAGAAAATGGAAGGCGGGGACTTAAACCACATACCTATCTGGCGTGCTGGCTGCGTGGGCGCAAGACAGACCAATAAAGCTGAGGTTTTAGAGATGACAGGATATAAGCTGCTCCCTCCAACAAGCCAAACATTCGGACAAAAGACCCGCTTTGAATTAAAGAAGACACTTTTTGTCATAGTCAACGACAAATTTCGTTTTAGTCTGCAACGATTCAAGAAAGAAAGCCGCATTTAACCATTGCCATTAGCGCACATTTTGGTAAATTGTCAGTCGCCTTCTTGTTGGTTTTGTTAATAGCAACCAGCGTGCTCAGGTCGGTGCTGAGCTCTCCAATTTGAGCGTAATTCCGATTAATTTGCCCTGCGGGTCTTATTTGGACAGGTCGATTGCAGCAGGCCTAGGAATTCTTTATTGGAGCTTTCTTAAGAGAACTGTATGAGGACGAAGAAGGGAAACACACTGACATAGTCTTATCTTGTGTCTAAATTTTTGATCGCAATATGCGGCCGTTCATTGCCTAACCTCCTTGTCCAAAGCGCAACCAACATTAAAGTGGTCTCTATCATGCTTATCCGTTTGTGCTGGCGGGATTTCGCCTCTGTTGAATTCATTACCCGACCACCCAGAGGTCTCTAATTAAGCATCTATACTCGTTCCGAAACAACAGCCACCACGCAAATTGGTGTCCAACCGCGCAACTTGGCACCTCCGGGTGTGGACGTCGCATACAACTTCCTAGCCGGGTAAGGTGTTGCTAAGGTGGTTTAGCTAAACTGCACGAAAATTGGTGCATCTGCCTGTTGGTCTGGTGTATTTCTGGCAGCCACGACTCCTGTCTCGCTTTGCTGAAAATTCAAAGTTGCCGGAAGTTGGGCCTGTGTATCACGACGTGCGATTTACGTCCGGTTCTCCACAAGCCTTTCTAATATTCTCATCTATTTTTCCATTCTCCCCTCCGCCATGGTGGCAGCCACCGAATGGTTAATCTGGTTTGGGGTATGGTGTTCCACATACATCATATGGCAGTGAGGTTTCGAGTCTGTTTTTGGCCGATTCAAACCAAAAAGACCTGAAAAGCCTACTGATAGTAACCGAAGTCCCCTAAAAACTTTATGTATTTTAGGACTCTCTGTCGGGTCTCTTGTTCGTCTTGGCTCTGTCTAGTTATTCAACTTCAGAAGGATGGCCAAAAGTTTATCTAACCATTCAGAAATTTTTGGGGATTTTCAAGTTTCCTATTTTTCTACACACTAACTTTAACGCATATTTCCCAACGGGACTTGCAGATTATTTGACTCAAATGCTTCGAACGCCTATTCTTTAGAAAATCCAAACGATGAGTATGATAAGCTGTCATATTTGGCCGAATATCAGCAGATATAATGGGGGACAATTAGTGCTATGCAAATGAATATCACTTAATCGTCTTCCTCTCGCTTTGTTTTTCCACACGGCAAAATAAGCCATTTCTTAGACAGGTGCCTTCATTCCTGACTGACAACGATAGTACGAGTGGTATCCATAAACGGACACTGTTTATTTTCATTAATCCGCTTAAATATAGTGTTTATTAGATAACATGCTCTTGTTCTAACGGGTTTTTAATTGTTCAAAAGATTCCTCACATTCTTTTAAACTAATGCTGCTTAGCCCCCCGAGCGACTTTTTCGGACCTGTTCTACTTTTTGATAACGCCTTCGCATAAGGGGTTTCTTTGCTCTTGTGAATAAGTCGCATGTGGCTAGGCCAGCAAATACATAAGACGAAGATGGCGTTTCTTGCCAAAGCGGATTGATTTTGAATGCTGTGATAATGAGGCAACCAGTCCCAAGAAGTCTCAATTCGAACTATTTTTCACTGCTTTACTCAACCGTATCAGCACTTGGCGATAGAAGTGTTGATTATTGTGGTGCTATAAGGAACAAGTTTAACGTGAACAACTCCTACAATGTCTACGAAACGAACTATCAATAACAGAAGGCAGAATTCGATGTTGGCGTGTTGTTCCTTAAAGTTTATTGTTGCAAAATCACCGAGAGTGCTCACAGAGAGCGTCTAATATACCAACCATTATGTCAGCTGCGATAGCTTCATATTAAAGTAACTTAGTCAAGTGGGCAGTTAAAGTGTTTAGTGAACTGACCTAGCGGGATAAGCAGCACCGATAACTCCTGCCTACAGAAAATAATTATCGTTTTTTTTGATACCCTTCTCGTACTACCCTCTTAAAGACAAAGGGCGTTAGGTGTAGGTGACGTCAAAAGTTCACTGTAACATGAAGTAAGAAGAGGGACTGTAGGGAAGCAAGATGGTTCTTATGAGCGTACAAGGGATGAATAGTAGTAACTTGTTCGGTCAACTGCGGAGACGTTTCATTGAAACCCCTGAATTAAATGATAAGAAAAGGGAGAGTCGGTGATTTATAACATTCTTACTACCTGATAATGATAATGCTCTAATTGACTAACGATCTATGTATCTTATGTGAATAGCAAGCATAACTGCATTTTTAGAGATAAATTTTAAAGCGGTCTTAAGTAGTTTCGCCGTGTTTATCATGAAGGCGATCTGTTCAGAGGCCGTTCAGTATAAAATTAAACTATTCCCATTAAACGTCGCAAATACACTTCTTTCTCAAACATTTAATCAGAGAGTAATTTGCATTCGTGCAAGAGAATTATTTGCCGAGTTATTTGCCTAGGTCGAAACCTCCAAGGCATCACTAATTAGTTTTAGGCTCTAAACCCATACATCAAGAATAGACCGTGACCAGTAGATCTGCGCTTTGTGTTAGGAGAGTGCTGTGCAGATTACGGAAGTATACTTAAACGTCGAAAATGATGTTATAAACTGATGCATCTAGAGTCTTTTGACACTGAACAGCATAGAAATAACGACTGTTAATTTCCATTCAAGATCCATTATTCACTGCGGCTCTTTAAATAACCAAATCGCTTTGTTGCTAATGGGCAGTCATTTTAATGATGCTATTTTTCTCGCATGCTTCGCGTTCCTTACTGCCTCATAGATCTCAAACGGCGCCGGTTTTGATTCATCATTGAACGTCTAATTCCTTTGCCTCCCTTTTTACAGAATCAAAATGCTGGGGACATAAGAACGATGTTTGGCGATAATTTTATGCGCTTAAAAATCTTTGCTTTATTGTAGAGAAATCAGCCAACCTCCAGCTGAAATGATGATGCCTTCACTACCCCCTCGGACTCAGACGGATTTCGCTGTCCCTCGACTGACTCTCCGGTACTGACACGTCCATTTACTTGGATGAAATTTTGTAATCCTCTTCCTCTTTACTTTGACCTACCCTATGTCGCAGTTGGTCATACCTCGAACACTTAAAAAAACAATTTAAACTTAAAGTTGTTAAGTATGACCTGGTACAGACGAAGAAATCGAAGCCATGAATAAAAATGCAGGGCGAACACAGATCGTTCGCATTTGGATTTGCCAAAAATTGTTATTAAGTTACATATTAGAAGGAGAGCTTATGAAATCAATTAGGAATGTGGTGAATTACGTGAAGTGTTAGAAATAACTTAATCTTTTTAGACCGACTTAGGATAGCATGTCGAATTACACAGGGTTATCTAGTAAAACCAGTAGTCAGCATTTGGTAATTTCTACTAATTTTTTATCTTCTGTTCTTCTTGGTATTATGTTTATGACTAAAAGCAAAAGGTGAGAATATGGCAAGATTCCTTAAACGTAAGTTTAAAGGAATAGCACCAATTTACTACTTTTTCATGAAAGCAGTCGCAGAAACCCGCTCGAGAGAAGAAAGTTAGTTTGCGAGCCGTAGTTCAGCAATTGGTCATTTTCGCCGGCCCAACTTGAACAGCAAAATATTAACACAAAGTTGGATTCATTCGCGAGCATAGCTTACGCGTTGCATCCAGGTTGACTACTGTCTTGATCAATATGGCCTTGAGCATTTAGATACCGCCTAATGTTATAGGTTTTTTAAATTCTACATGACTAGCCTTTTGAGGATGAGATTTGGCAAATGCCTGCTCATTTTTCCTGGATTGCGCCTCGACGCCGTGGACGTTCGGCGATCATCATGTTTACAACTAAATTCATTTAAGCAGGACAAGCCAGAAGACACCATTTGAAACGTTTGATTATGTGTAGAGCCTTTGGGCACGTTTGTGACTGAATATGTCGCTTGCCTGTGTATTCAGCTGACCTGCTTGCATAAGTACCAAAAATACCGAAGTGTGTATACCCCCATTGTAGGCTTGATTCGGACGTGAGTGATAATAATTGACTTTCCAGCTTACAGCGCGCAGGTCTCTTTTGTCTGATTTAGTAACCATGAGTCCTTTGTATTCTGGCCCTTTAATTTTTCCCTTCGAATCTGCCGGCTTGGAGCAGTTCACATTTTATTCTCTTCTAACTTAATTGAATGGTCTGCGCACGTTTCCATAACAGGAGCTGAATACCACAGGTTGGTAGGAAATGACGGTGAGGGCCTACACAACGACTATTTTAAGCTTGAAATGTCAGATCGGCAAACTCATGTTTTCGGATTTTAAGATTACTCATTCCTTCTATTATCTTAACCGGCCAGAACTTACTATCAAGGAAGATACTGGTAAAATTTATTTTGCTGGTACTTCTAACCCACCGCTTAAATCTGCTGCCTAAATCACCTACGCAGCGTGTTGACCAGAACTGCGAGTGACTGAAAAAGGCCTGAAAAATCCATATCGCAGCCGATTTCTCGTTTATAATGCTTGCCTGACCACCTGACAACCTGTTTGTGGTTCTTGCCGTCAGCTTTAGAGACATACTGATCTCGGAATAAAATATTCCTGTGGAAGACTTAACATTTTCCACATAAATGTATGTTGTCTGACACCGCCAATGTAATTTTTGAGGCCGTGTCTGACGGCTCATTTTCATTCAAATTTGCGCCAACGATTGCGCATAGAACAGCAACCGTAACTCTACAGTTTGAGTTGGGCAGTAATTTTAAGTGCTCAGAGACACTATAGAAAAAGATAGACCATTTTATCTGTCATTCTTCATTTTCAATCATTTCTGTCCGAACTAACCGCAGGATCATGTTCATAACACACATGTTATTGAGAAAAGACCAATTAAAATAAAAATGTAAAAAATGTAAAAATGTAAAAATATGAATGTGTACATACCTTATTATTCCACAGGTTTTATCTTTAAATAGTTGGCAAGTAGTACTCATTTCTTCCTAAATTTTCCATGGTAAATTGACATGGAAGGAATTTTGAGGCACGATCCCCCATCACAATTAAAAAGCAAATATTCAGAGTTAACCTGAATTTGCATTCGCAGTTTGGATTGGGCAGATAAACTCAAATATAAATCATCCGCTTCAACAGGAAGTCATTCGAATTTTTTGGAATCCACTTTAGACTTTAAAGACTTTGCGACAAAACATTTGGAGAACGTAGTCGCAGCTGCTTTCCTAGAGGTTAATGTTCGAGAAATCGTCGACGGTTTATTTGTTAAGATGTTTTGATTGGATATTGGAACGGTAATTTTACAATGCGTCCTGTGTATCCTTTCAGGGAATTCGGAATGGGTCCTGAACAGCCGGAAGGACAACCCTCGTTGTAAGTTTAATAATGGCTTTCAGCATTAATTAAACAGCTCAGTTCCTTCAAAGTGTAAAAATATTAGTTTTGAGGTTTTAACATAAGCAAAATGCCCTTAATTAGGCTTTGCGATGCCTGACGTTGAGTTTCAGAAGGCAGATGAGACGAAGGGGCTGTGGTTATTGAAGCAGAAATTTTACTCGCCAAAGTTTTGGATTCATACTCGAAAACATCAATAGACACAACCGCAGATCAGAGTGATGACATCCAGAGGTGCATCGTTTATGAGATGCGGTTGTTCTACAGCTACACACCCATTAAAGTTGACAATCCTGAACTCATTGCGGGAAATCCTACATGATGCAATGATTGCTTACCGGTCCACACCAGGTCAAGTATTTGTCCCAATTTCATTACTGGTATCGGTTATTTGCACGATGCTTGCTCCGCAGTTTGGTTTGCTGCAGTAAACTGTCGTTAATCTGCGGAGGTTATTGGAAGATTGCACAAAACGCGGATGACTAAACATGCAGTCGTTTTAAAGATGGATGGCTCCGGCTCTCAGGCCGCGGCTATTTTGAAGGGACCTAGCCTCATTTGCGGGTGGGCGAGGCCTAAGTTCTCACGTGAGGAGACGACCACGTAAGTAGAAGGCCATACTGACCATGGCTTTCTGCCCAGCACTTTAGTAACAAACGCACTGACCTTCCATTTACATATCCACTGTTGAGACTGCCCGAAAAGTTGATGATCAGACGGGAGCGGGCATAAAAATACCGTTTACGACGACCATATCAGCAAAAAAAATTGCCGAGTAGGTACCGTGTCAATAATTAAAACAGAGGAATAAAGTATAGCAATAAATGCGGGCAAACAAGCAATCATCACACCACCGACAACAAATACGAGGCCTGACACTTATTGCAGGTATGTGGTAGCAACAGCATTCTACACTCACCGCATCGTATGTGCACATATCTGTCGTATCCACAGTTGCGTCGAGTTATGGTTTTGCGTGAGAGTTCGACTTGTCAGACGAGTAAAACTAGTGCTGTAGTTGTTGTGGCTCCTCCTTCTTAGACCGTTCTTTATACAGGGAATGGTGACATGAAGATATTCAGAATTCGAAGTAAATGCGGCTGTTTGAAGTCGACGATGAAGTGCCTCAGACTTAACTTTATCAGGAATACCATGGAAAACTTTACATACTACAGTTTTTTGGATTGTTGGATTTTCTAACTTCATGACTCGGCCTTGGCAGAAGACCAACAAGGTGCTTGTGGACACGTTTATTAACCGCATTGGCTGTAACGACGACTCTAATCTAGCTACTGCTCTTATTAGTATGCAAAGCAGAACAAACACATCCAGGTCGGATGGTTGCCGGACAAACCATAAACTGCTCCCTCATGAATGCTAAGACAATCTAATACAAGGAAAGTAACGCACGTTTGCGTACGCTCGCCAGACTGTCTTTTGGATTCTTCAATGGAAATTTTCGCAACTCTAAAACAGTCCAAAGGTTCCGTGTGTTAAAGGCGCCCAATGAGTACCCACGGTTCAACACCAAGCTTATGGAGGCGAAAGTACGGGCTAGATTTATTGGAGAATACCTCGAGCGAAACGACTGCCCGAACTCCTACTGATGAACAATGCTTGGAGTCGTACGGTTATCATCTCTGAGACTGAGAGGACACGCCCAAAAAGAACTAGAGAGCGCGCATGTAAAGGTAGAGGAACTAAGACGTCATATGTGCCAGCGAGCTGTAGTATTAGACCAACTAGGTGAAGACGAGAGGTAGGAATTCGAAATCTATGTGCCTTGCATTGCGGAAAAACGCAGGGATATAAAGATGGCTTCCCTCCTTCGGAGTATACACGAAGGTAGACCACAATTGAAGATCCCCGAGGACCGAAGTCGGTACATACACAACTATTCATCTATATCCCTTGATAAAACGTTAATCGAAACCTTATCGCTAAGCCCTAAGTTCTGCTGTCCTCGCCAGAAACTCAACCAGCTGCTGCTAGCGACACAGTTCGAGAAACTCATAAATAAAACACATGACCTTCAGTCGGTTCCGGTAGAGAGCGCGCAACGCCTTAAGTCCGCGTTAGTCAACTGCTCTTATCAGTATCCTGACTGCGGCCAGAAATGTCGAGGATAACTGATGAAGTCGCATATTGAGAAATTAAATTAACTCCGACAGAACAAGGGTATCTTAATAAATAGGTTAGATAAGGTATCTGGCGTTGTTTTGATGGACAGGGTAGACTATCTTACAAAAATACAGTCAATCCTGTTGGAACAGGAAAAGTTCCGTAAGGCATAAAAGGAGAAGGATCGAACAGAAGAAGTTGAAGCACATCTGACTGCTTATGAAGAATTCAAGCGAATGGCTTCATAAGCGAACACAACCTAGAGCGTCTCCGACCCGTTGGCATGCATATACCTCGGTTATAGGGCTTGCCGAAGCTCCACAAAGAGGATACATCGGTTCGTACAATCATAGACATGAGAAATTCGCCGTACCATGCGGTAGCAAAATGGCTAGGGGAGAAACTTGAGCCCATACAGTACCAGCTAGCACAACATGACTATCGAGATAGTTTTGAAGTCGTGAACGGCGTTAAAGATCTCAACCTAAACGGAACGATGATGTTTTTGCTGAACAACTCGTCTATTTTTACGAATCTTTCGGTCACAGAAACCGTCAAAAACCTCTGTGAATTCGTTACCTCTTATCACCAGGATATAGGAATGCCGGTTAATGCACTCAAGGAATTACTTCTGAGATGTACCCTAAACGTCCAGTTCCTATTTAACAACGGAGTAGCTATGGGCTCGCCATATGCTTCTCTTTTGGCGAAAGTATTCACGGGCAAGCAGGAAGCTTTCGGGCTCAGTCGCCGGAACAATGGTCTAAGACACTATGGGCACTACGTGGATGATATATTCGCGATCGCACCTGAATAAAACGACGTTTCAGTTCTACTGGATGATGTCAGTCAGGAGCATTCAACAATCAAATTTACTCTAGAAGATGATAAATCCGGATCGCTCCCCCTTCTGGATGTACCTTGGAGTAGAAGACCTGAAGGTAGTAGTCGACGTAGCGTCAATCGTAAGAAGCCGTGGTCTAGGCAATACACAAATTTTGGGAATATCGTACCGCTAAACATGAAGCGCGATTTATTCCATTGTCTAACACAAACAGTAAGGAGGTTCTGCTCGGCTGATAGTCCTGAGGAAGAACTTAAGATTGTCGAAAATCTCTTTCGATAGAACGGGTATCCCGATCGATTCATTGCCAAATACATGACGGAAAGATCACCAAAACTCCCGATGCTGATGGCAAAAAGGAAGACTTTCATCGGGGTCCCAGTACAAAGAGACGCTCCAAGCGAACTTCTAAGAAGGCGTCTAACTAAAGTTATATCACGTACCTGTCCAGCAGCTGACGCCCGTGTGCTCTTCTCCACCAGTCTCATCCTACGCAAGGACAAACTGCCATCCCAGACCCCTTCAATGTGTATAAACTCCTTCACCTGCTCCTGTGCGGCAGACTATATTGGTCGCACGAGCCGGCGTTTGTTCAAAAGAATAAGAGAACACCTTCTAGCGTGGTTAGCAAAAGCCAAATAAAGAACGTGAACAGCTCTCTCCTCGTCCACATGGTAGACACAGGTCACCGCGTAGATGCCGGACTGGCATTCCGGGTGATTTAAAAACTCCCGTCAGGCTATTCAAAATCACTTGGACAACGTCTGTTAGCAACAGCACAGGTGGTTGCAATCATGCTATTAAAAACCAGTTCTATGGGTACAAAAGAACTTCGTACAGCCACCAAAGTTACCACAGGCCAAAGCCACCATGCCAGTCACCTGCGTATAATTACCCCTCCCAGTGCCCGCCATCCCCTTTTCCTCCATGACACTGAAGGTAATTTTGCTCTTCACCTCACCCACCCAGAACCTCCTCCAAAACCCCGCTACAGAAAAAAATCTGTTTGCCCGCACTTTCTTTTTAATCATTTCGATAGCAATAGAAATATATAGACCTGATGAGAATTTATCGAGAGCTTACGTATGCTCACCCAATTGTCCTTTTGAAATTAACAAAAGCCGGCACTTTTATTCCTTTATTGATTTCCTAACCCTGATACTTTTGAGCGAAGAGCAATTATCCTTTCGTTGAAAAACAACATATAAATAGTAGGCATATTCGTAGAAACATCGAATCTGCCTTTTTGCAGACTAGCAGGCCAGGGACTTCAAAGGTGAAGGCCTGTATCTCCTTCAAGTAAACTGAACTAAATCAAACTGAACTGGTTAAAACTTCTGGTCGGTTATATGGTAAATAAAATGTGTTTGTAAACAAAATGACTAAAAATCGTACTGTCACCTCTGGCAGTTGTATTACTATTTGTTGCCGACATCCCGAGAGCGTTAGCTTGCCTAACAGGCACTACTCATGTACATAGATTCGGCATGATAAATAAACTCCGACCATAAGGGGGCGAGGATGAAATCAACTCTCCACAAAGTACTTATTTGCTCTTCTAGGCTGTCACCTTCAAATACTATATTTTGCATACTCTCTAGACACTGTAATATCAATACACATATTTGCGTCCCAAATTAGGCAACTAAGCCTACGAATACATTTGGTGAAATTACAACCATATAATTTTCGAGAAACGATTTCTTACTATAAATACATCTAACTGGTCATCAGAGATCAATTAAAAATTCACCCAATTCATAGTCTACAAGACCAGACTGATTCATTCTTGTCTGTTTGCATTCGGTTACAATATTTGTAAGTTTGTGAGCACTATCCTTTTTGTGCATTTTCTATACACCCTCCAAACTTGACTTAAATTGCCAAAAATCAACGCGCAGACCATTATCATTTCTCGTATTAAGCTAAAGCAAAATTCCATTTTTATAAATGTGTAGTAAGCTGTTTTCAATACCATTTTCAAATACTATCGAACTGTAATTGGAGGGGCTAACTACAGTCGTATTACTGAAAATGCTTTATTTATATTTTATGTACTGCTAAAAGGTACACTAACAAATCCGAAGATGTCGTTAAATTCACCGTGAAACAACAAAGAAATAGCTGCTTATTAAGAGACCTGATCGTCGACTCGGCTCATCTTTTCCCTTCTCTTTCTGTTTATCAAAATTTTCACTTTTGTGTAAAACCGTTGAGCCTGCGTTATGACTTGCTCTATCCTACTAATACTTTGACCAGTGACATGGCTTATCGACTATTCTATCGAAATTCTTAAGTGTTATCGGTAAAATCTTTACTAGGCCAGTTAAAATATCTGCGCTACGGTGACGGGCATCTAGCACATATGAAATCTCATATTTTTTCCAAAGAATTGCACTATATGTTTTGGTTTATGGACGTTGATGATCAAATATCACATATATGAAATGAATTAACTCTTGCGATGTCTAATCAAGCAAATGGACTGCTGGTTACTGGAGCATTTGCACATCGCCACTTTTTGTTGAGTCATACTTGATGAAGGAGCGTTGGAGTCTCTGTCAGTTATGGCCTTCAGTTTTGACCATCTCCCCGATGACCAGACACTAAAGTTCTGTTTAGCAGTCTATCCTAAAGTAGGCTTCACCTGCGGCTTTAGGCTTTTGCGCGCGCTTAGAAATACATGTACTTAGAACTGCATATAGCCATGCCTTCCAGCAAAAAAACGTGCGAATTTTCATAGACTTGACTGCTAGCTGTCTGGGCCCAAAGCGTGAAGGAGACTGACCTCTTGTTAGTTAGTGGCGCTTTACTGACCCAGCCGGGTCGTACAGTGGCACGTTTTACTCTTTGTTAAAGCTTGGCATGTTTGACTCTGACCTCGGCACCATAGATCGTCTGGCTGTTGTAAATTTAAATGCTCGTAATACCAAAGTATACTCCTAACTTAAACTGGCATAGTTTTGTCGACCCTAAGGAATAATGTGCATAGGCAAAAATTGGCAGAAGATATATGCCTATCGATTTCTAATTGTTAGCGCTAAGAAAATCATAATATTTTTTAAAAATGTGAAGCTAAGCTAAACACAAATCGACACGCATTACCGCAGATGAAATTTTATTTTGCGGTTACATTTTTATTTTGTTAAACTAATAATTTCGCAAATTAGTAAGCGAGAGCTTTGGGATCCAGTGCTGTCTGGAATTTGTAGCTGGGCATGTGAAAGAGATGTATCAGAATTTCTAGTGAAGGCGAATCTTTTGGAAGATGATTTTTTATCAACGGCAACCAGCCACATGACGTAACACATTTCTGAGATATGCAAACACATATTCCAGGTAGAGAGTTTTCCCCTGAATTCGTCAACTTTTCAGTCTACGTAGGGCAGGTTATTCTAATATGCGTTCACCATCGACAAAAGATTAAAACTTCTAGTAAATTTTTGGCCGATCGACAATTAACTATCGAACCTAAAAGTATTTCCGTATACTATCGTTCCTCATGTGATTCGTGAATAACACTGGATTTTAAAGTTAACTTTTGCATGCGACTGTTATGAAAACTAAGTTAATAGAGAAAGCACAGGCGAAATCAATGGACCAGCTGATGAGCCATATCCCTTGTTGTTGCTTTGCGCAGCCCCTTGGTGTTGTGTTAAGGCGTACGAATAACATATTTATGGCAGACCGACTTATCTTTTTCGTCAACTATACACACTACTGCTGGATTTAGATTTGTGCTTCGTCTATTGTAATTAGAAAAAATTCCAAATAATCAGGCCGGATGTTCTTGAGAAATTGTGACTGGGCTCCAACCCTTTTAGCTGAACATATTCGGAGCTCACATACCCCATTCAAAGAAAATTGTAAAGCCCTCGTTTAAATCGATTGTCTTAGAGTATATTTTGAAAGATTTTTAACTCTTTTTAAAATTTGATTATGCATGTCGACATTCCAACTTTTGAATGCCGTAAAAGTTTTAACACCCAGGCTGCGAACGGTAGCGATATCAATTTTTCGGATTAATTTTCGCAATAAAATTCCCCTTACCTTTGTTTCTGATGATAATATGTTCTCATCTAGGCCTCAGGCCAGGGAACCCATCACAGTGGATACTCAACCCACCTCACGACCTACGGATTTGCCTGCCCTCGCTAGTCCTACATCTGTCACTTCGAGGTGGTGCCTAGCTTGAATTAAAAACAATTTGGCGAATTAAACATGCGAAAATCCAAGAAAAATCCTCTATCGTATTTCAACTTACGGTCAAACTACAATTAACATTTCCCAGAATGCATGCCAATCTCAACTAAATACGCAGTTCCTACTTAAGTAACAAAAGTAGCCAACATATTGTGTGGACCATACACATGTCACAGACTCGAGAAGTCTCGAATTCGTGACATTGCGGGTATTATTTTAGTGCAACCACTATTCTTACTACTTGGTCTTCAAGGCCTCAGCGTAGACCGTTGGAGTTTTTATCACCAAGCAGCTGTCTTACTCAAATCGTTGAATGCACTGTTTAAATCCTGAGCTTTGAAGATCAGAGACTGATTGTTTACGACAACTTTCTTGGTCATTCAGCTTACTGTACTTGGCTTGGCGACTCCCATACGCCAGAGTATTCTGGACAAGAAAATTAGTCGAAGGGTGAAAAGTCAGTGTTCTTTGCTTAGGTCTCTTAACTCAGGTAAGGAGAGCGCTATGTTCATTCAGCAACAGTACAGAGACCCTCAGAGGTCGTCGAGTTTTTCATGTTTGGGATAGTGGAATTATTGAAATTTGCTAGAAACGCCTGCATAGTCTTTCATCAGTTTTCAACCAATGTTCATCTACTGCATTTCGAATTATCCTCTTTAAGAACAGTATACGGGTCAAGCTTTTGAGTAAACGTTGGCGCCCACTGCAGACCTGTTCTATCAACTCGAGAAATATCAAGAGACAAATGCTCAAAAGTATATTGCTTATAAATTACGCATGTGAAGCAAATTTTTAAGTGCCTCTTCGTTCTAGATGACTGCGTTCTAGTGATTAAAAAGATAAATTACTTAATATTTCAAAGCACTGGACCGTCTATGTGACCTAATTTTAAATCTACCTTTAATTGAAAAATTGTAGTTTTGCAACAACTGCGGATTCCACCAGGTTCTTCCGACAGGTCGAAGAAAAAGCGTAAGTTTTTTGAAGAGTTGAGTATATAACGCGTTGATTTTGCCAAGCACTTTTGTTAAGAATATGAAAGCTATTTAACTGCGCAACGTCTTTTTCCGCTTATTTACAACTTGAACTCTTTGCCCTATTAATTGAAAACATGGATTTAAGTATATTGTCAACTGCTGACGATTGTTCGCTGGTAGAGTTTAAAATTTTTGAGCAGTCTTCTCATGAGAACAACAAAGTCTGCTGGTATATAATGATTTGGAGAAGCATGCTTTGCCGTCAAGGCCCAACCCCGGGATTGGATAAAATAAGTGTTTCACTCGAATTCAGCCTTCCATAATGGACTTTTCTCACGTAGTTGGTGAGGTGACTGTCAATGCGAGGCTTTGCGAGGATGTAGAGACTTGCTTCGGATTCCACCAAGCTCTAGAGCAATGTCCATCTGATATTCACGTTAAGTTATGTGTTACTGTACTCATCGAATTTCGGATTACGAGAACCGTAATTTGGTTTCTACTCTTGGGTAGTATCACGCCAGTAATACGGTCGACCTACTTAAAACAACGACTGTCAGTTCGCGCACTTTGCAAACGAATATGTATCCTCGGGTAGCCTATTTGATACATGATACTGACCGGACTTAACACTATCTTTGGTTAAAATGCGTCCAGCATTTTGATGACCATTCCTTGTTACCGTGGTGCACGGAGTAAGGAAAAACAATTAATAATGTAGTTCGGAATGGAAGGCTGCCTGAATTCTAGCCACACCGTGGAATAAAGTGGTGAAGTTCGGTATGAGACGGAGAGCGCATCCCTCGTTCGGTTACAGGAGAAATACGGGAAGAAAATCAGCAAGATGCTTATAGAATCATGAATGTCAATAATCAGAATAACATTACCGACAAAGACAAGGGAGACTGGAATGGCCATTTCTGGCTTATTAGCCGTCGTCAGCCAGCCATACCCAAGCCCGAAGTGTGGAACACCCGAGCCTCGAACTCGCGACCTGTTGGTTTAGAAGTCAACGCCTCTACTCACCGGGCCACGAGCCCGTTGCCTTGTCGGTTTTCGATCGGGAATATACAGTGGTAGGGGGCGCTCACCGATCGGGTGTTCCACACTTCGGGCTTGGGTATGGCTGGCTGACGACGGCTAATAAGCCAGAAATGGCCATTCCAGTATCCCTTGTCTTTGTCGGTAATGTTATTCTGCCTATGTATCATGCGCCGCTGTGCGGCTGCTGGTTGGGCTCGAGAGAGAGCTCTTAAGGCACAACGGAACGAGTGAGTTCCGTATGAACGATCGGTGAGCGCCCCCTACCAATGTCAATAATGGTAGGCTGTGGAAAAATCTACTCAAAATATTACATTGATTTACAAAGCTAACCTATGCTTTCTGGACTATTAACTCAACTCCTCCCTACACCTTATAGAACGTTTTCGCCACAAACACAGAGGTGAAATATGCAGAGTGATCCGCTGTCTGAACTAATACCCGTTTTTTGTTTTTGATTTTCAACTTACTTATCGAAATGTTTCTATTAATTTGCTTTATTTAAATTAAGTGGTGGTGGCCCTTACCCTTTTCTATGACTGGTTACACATTTAAGGATAAATTTAAGTAAACATATTAACTTCCTCAGTCAATAAAATGCAACAAGAAAGAGTAGGTAAAGAGGAAGAGGGTATGAGGGCAAAAAGAACTCAAATTTGGTAAATTTGTACTATACACGAATAGTCAAATTTAGCGCAGTCGTAGCTTCTTCCCGCAAAGACTATTGCATAAATTTCTGGCAAGCTTTTATGACTTACCGCGATCGTGAAAATAAAGACACGCTCGCTGGGACAACGGCTTTATTATTTTGACATTCTGGATTCCTGTTCGAACCCGTTATCAGAGATAAAAGCAGATACAAGTGGTTCATGCATAAGGGACTGCAGTATTTATAGGATGCAGTCGCCATGCTACCGCATACCTAGGAATATTCACGGCTCCCCCCTTCATCAGGGATCGTTACACTTGCTTGATGACCGACACTCGCATCGTTAATTGCTTCCATTTCATCACGTGCGCTGGACGTTGGTGTAATGCTTGCTCGGCCATCTGGTCCACCGATCCTGACAATGGGAAAAGTGTTCACTTGTGCGGTTCCCGCGTGGCTTATTACTCCGCCTAGACAAAGTCTCAGCATCGAGTATGGAAGAAAAAGTTCTTTGCACTTGTTAATGGACTGGGGGCCAAAAACTATAACTCAAGCAGCTCCTGGCGCATACGGTTTTCACTTCTAGCGAGAATTTCGGCCTCGCCAAATGTGAATGTGTGGCTGGATCTCGTCGAACGGGCCACGACTTGAGAGCTGGCGTTATTTATCTGCACTGCTGCAGCGTATTCGGCCATTCCGGATTCTGCGACGAAGTTGCTTTGTCCGCAGCCGCAGCAGATCCGATAAACGATTCCAGGCGTTTCTTGCCATGGCAGGCGGTCTTTCGGTTTCATTACCTGACGCCTGATAGTTGCCTCTGGTCTGTGTGCAACTCCAAGCCCAAGTGGTGCGAGAAGGCGGCCGATAGCTTTCGAAACGCTCTTGACATACGGAAGCGCTCGCCAAAATTTGATGCCCGTGCTGTTCGGCCTTTCGTCACTTTTGCGTATGCACCAGTAGACGAGCTTGTGCGGGTAGCCATTGGTTTCGAAAACCCGTCGGAGGTATTGTAGTTCGATAATCTCGACTTCAGGCTCACTGCAGTGCGTTTCGACACCCGATAGAGCGTCCTTACACAACTGCATTTGTGTCTGATTGGGTGGTTGCCGTTGAAGTTTAGTAGTTGCATCGTATTTGTTGCTTTCTTGAATGCTTTGATCTCCTAGGCCACCACAAATTTTGTGGCATACGAGGACATCAGCTTATTGTTCTCCTTCTCCTCCTCCATCGCAAACTATATGTCCTGAAAGAACGCATTCAGACTTTCCTTGAATGGCAGCACCTGATCCCGGTTGATAACGAGAAGATATCATCCACGCACCGGGCCCAGAACTTTAGACTGTGGTGTTGGAAAACCAGCGACTCTAACCGTTGCAGAACCACCTACGCGATGAATCCCGAAGTGGACAAACCCATTGGTGTGTCCTTCATGTATTCGTAGATTGTCCCGTCGAAAGCGAATTGCATCCTAAGACAGAACTTCAAAGGCTGAAGGAATTTGGCACGTCCAAGACGATTCTCCGTTTCATCGTATTTGCTTTTTAGAAGCAGCTCGATTGTCTCCATCGCCAGGTCCTGGGGAACAGAAGTAAAAAAGGATGTAACATCAAAAGATACTATGACCTCATTTGGATGGAGGCTAACCCCTTTGAGTTTCTCCAGGAATTGTGCTGATGAAGAGACCGTGGTGTCTAACTCAACGGTCAGGAACTTGAGACGGCGGAACAGCCATTAAGCCATGCGTCTGTCGGTCAGTGTGAGTGCACCGGAGTTTTCAAGGGCAAAAAGGAGCATTACTTTCGCGTGCCAGCGTTTTTACACGGTTTTTTGCACATGGGACATAGAATTGTCGGTCCTCAAGGCGAATATAGCTCTTGTCCTAGCGATCGTGTCTCCTTCTTCACGACGTCTTTCTGGGACTTGTCTCGTTACTTAGCGCAATTGTCGTTTTCCGCACAAAGACTTTCGCTTACACAAAAATAACTTCGGATCCTAAGGAGTAACTATTTTCTATCAATATTTGTTGAGATGTCTCATATTATGCGTTTGGATTTACTATAACAACTTAGACATATTAATGTTTCATAGTACCTCAGCCTGAACCACTGCACATTACGTAAACCAACAAGCATAATTAGGGCATACAACTATGTGCCACTCCTTGCTCGTAAAGCGCTATGCAAAAGTTGATAAGAATCATAAGAACCAAACCAGTATTTTGGCTCAGAATACCCTTTTTTAGTAGATGGGTTAGGGGCGTCATCTAACATGTAAATATTCAAGGAAACATCGATATTCTGTTTGCAATCACCTTATAAGTAAATTAATTGGGCTCAAAATTGCCTCTTTAGAAGTATACACTTAATCCTTTACTTACACACCGATAGAGCATGTTTTCTGTTTGGTAATCATAGATACACTGGACAAATAATATGGTTAATGTGGAAACCGAACATAACATTAACCTTTAACTATTACAGCCCATTCTTATTTCCTTTAAATTTATTTCTGTGTACGAGGGCATTTGGTTGCATACGGCTCACATGCGCGCTCATCGAGAAACCATTTTTTCGAATACTTTGCAATTAGGGAAACCACATTTTAAAAAAATGTTGTACCCTCAAATACAGAGGAGGTGTGCAGGGGAAGTGTCAGAGTTTAAGTAGAAACAACATTTAATGGCCGATTTTTACTCCCAGCCATCGAGTGCACTCTCAAAACCATATAAGAAAACAATTTAAATCTGTTGAATTTTAATTTCCTACAGAGCGGTAAATTTCAAATAATTTTGAAGTCACTTTCTTATAGTTTTATGGAGCTTCTAGTGATATAAATGTTTCATTTTGACGTAACTTTACACTTGGTCTTAGGGAACTAAGCGAATTATAAGCGCCCATGCACTTTTGGGTTACGAAACGTTTTCGTACAAATGCACATTTAATTGTGTCTCGCCAGTCCCAATGTCTATGGAATGAGAAATAATAGCTACTGGCAGTATGAAAAGTAGGTCTTTTTGAAACTAAAAAGCTCTTTTGTTAAATGTCCGAAAGACGACAAATGGCGGATCAGCCTCGAGCACCTGAGGAACCAGTGATCAAAATTGCTTCGGAAGCAAATGATAGTTCATTACACCCCTCAAAGTAAGTATCGGTTAACGTAAGTTTTGTTATGGATCTAATACTGATCATTTTACATCGCGTAAAACGATCATGATTTCATAGCCGTTATAATATCTTGAATTTCTTAGGACGACTTCTGTCTTCGGAGAAAGCGAAACCACTGTTCTTACCGGACCTAGAGTAGTTGATGCGGAGAGCATTTCCAGCGATTCGTGAGTTCATACTGTTTTATGTGAGCTATTAACGTTATAACTGTTTGTCTCTGTGAGGTGAGTAGTAGCTTTATGGCTTGTGATTCTGTAAGCTCAAATCCATCCGATCACGGACATGGGCTTCTTAGCTCAACTTTTCTCTTAACCATTTTACTTGTCTGTTCGGCCAGACTTGAAACACTTTTATGACCAACATTACCTCGAATTTAAACTTTATTTCAAGCAGCATGTTCACCTCTCGAGTTATGTCTAAAAAACTGAGATTGTCACAAATACTCAGAATGGTGCGAGAGAGTAATTATCCACCCTCCCCTCGCTCAAGAACAATTTTTCGCGTAAATATGCGTTATGTTTTTCCAATTGTTTCCCAGAGACTCTAACAAATGAGTTTTTTACTTAGATTGGAACAAATTGAAATTCTCTCGGTCAAATTAGTATTGTAAGATATAATGTAATCATTTGCTGTGTTTGGGCTAGTATGAAGTACCGTGATTTTATCGTTTGTGCAAGGAGCATTACTACAATTTGGAATGTGTAGCGATAATCCAACTGGCATATTATAGTGAAGGATTACGCATGAAGGCTATTAACGGTTTAGCATGCATGCATTCCAGAATACTGTCGTTCCCTTTGCCTCAGTCCGCAGTTGTTTTTACGTTTCCGCATAACGTAAGTATTTGGTCACAAACGACGAATCTCGGACAACTTTCTTATTGCAATGTTTATGGGAATTTATTTAAAAAAGCTAGTTTCACAAAGCGGAAAACGTTTAAAAATGATGACAGTTTACCCTTTTTCTTACCCTTTACTTACTTGCTTTACTTATTTGCGTACCCTTTTATCCTTTTTATTCGATCAACAGGGACTTATCTTTAACGCACGTCTGATAGATCCGTCCTCTAACCAATAAGCAAATCTTCAAAATCTGATGACTTTCTTAATTTAGAGAAGACGACAACAAAGATAACACTCCGCCAAAAAGACTGCCGATTCGCATGGAACAAATGGAAATAGAATTAAGTCCTCCGGAGTCTCCAGAAAGGAAAGAGAAACCGACAAAAGACAGAATAATCATAGCCAGGTTTGTATTTCCTTCGCATATACTCCTATTATGCATTATTGCCAAGATGTTCACCATGTATAACATGGCATTATAAACGCCTCACTTATTGCAAGCGCGCACTAATGGTTTTTAGTTTTGCTTTCTTTGTGTTAAAGGTAATCGTTTCTGATGGCTGATTTGATTATCTGACCTGAGTAGGACTTAGTTGATTCTCACGGATGATACACACCCACATTCTCAGATGCCCATATAATCGCTGTTGACAGGAATTGACTCATCCTTCTTCCAACGATGGTTGCTGGTGCGCTAGGCTGGCGTGGCAGCCGGATAGGGGGTGGCCTTTGATCCCAACCAGCTGGTTAGGTGTTTGTGCCTATGTGTGCGTACGTATTAGACTAATTATGTGGCAGCTTTTACGCCAGCGAGCTTCTCTTCAACCAATGGGAACGATAAACATATTCGTATAAGGTTATGCATAGTCTAGAGGTATAGCCACTTGTCTTCTTGAGACGCTTGATAATCCGCGGTGGTAAAAACATAACCATATCGACCGGTAAGTTGGGCGATTTGTTACTGTCTCAAAATCCGGTGTCAACGATACTTAATGCCTCCGTTCGTTTGAAATTTTTAAAAACCACACTTTCCCGTACGTGGCAAATTGTCTTTGAGTGCGTTTTAATGTTCATCGTTTCTATAATTCTGAAGTTCTTCCGTTACTGTAAGAGAACCAAATGCATGCCTGAATTAATATTTCACGTTCTCTAATAGTTTCCACGGAAATGCTATTTTGCCGATAATACAAAGAATGCTTTTCGATAAAAGAATAAAAAGTCACTATGGATGTGTTGTGGTGGTAAGTATAACTAGAGGTATGCTTCACCTACTCAGGATTTTGGCCTGCGAACACGCTATGTGAGGAAAAGAGCTCAAATAATTGTCACTCGTGTGAGCAAAAAAGACAACTTAGGCTCACGCGGCATATACTACATACGGCTTTCTAAAGAACTTGCTTAACTACCGGCAAACCATCGCACAGAGTAGACGAATAAATTTACTAGGTAGACAAAATGGTCGTCTAGGAGGCTGGGGAATGAAGTATTTTATTTCCCACCAGATACAAGTTTTTCACATGAAAATTTTTGAATTCGATGCGGACGATTTCGCGTGTTGAATGTTGACTGAACGTGTATTTTCTCCTACCTTGCGTTTATTAGAGGGTTAGCACTCAGGTTACCGAAAATAACTCCACCCGGCAAAATGTACTTCCAAGAGATAAGTAGAAAAGTGTTAGGTTTCATTCAACACTAACTCAGTCTATGTTGGCAAGTCTGTTTTACAACTGACTGATGACAGTGTACAAATCCTACCTACTCAGTCTTTTTTATCTCACCGCATGTCTGTCTGTTCAGTATTTAAAAATTCAGTTCACGTGCTTTTTTAATAAAGCATGAAATACGGAGCCACTGATTTAGTCTTCTAGCGAGTCCTTAGGATTAGGCAATTTTTGTGCAACAAAAACCTGGACCATGGCCTACGCTGATGTGGTGCGAATCACTACGCAACAATAACCAGAGAATCAAGGAAGAGCGAAATCTACCAAGTGCTGTATTTAATGAACATAGATGTGTAGTGGACGACGTAATTTATAAAGCATGCGTAAAATAAGGGGAAAATGTAACTAGGTCAAAAGCGGACCAAATGCATCAACAAAATCTCGTAAATATTAATAAGTCATTTCCGGTTCAATTTAAACGCAAAAAACAACTCATAACAATGGTGAATGGGTAAAACAATACACATTTTCATATTAGGAACGGAAGCACTGTAAGCTCGAATATTCGTATCAAAGGAGCAAACTTTGTTTGTAGATGCAATGTCTTTAGGTAATAAAACGGCATAAGCAAAATAATATTCAAAATCCCTTTTGTAAATTATTAGAAAAAGTAACCATAAAGAGTTTGTGTAATATGCATTAAGGCAGTTCGTTAAATGCAATTTTGCTGATTATGTGCCTTCAGTCAGTGACACGAGAACTAAACGCAGTTTTGCTCTCTTTCTGCACATTTCAAAGTGCGGTTTTCACTTTTGTTTGCGACATGGCCTTCAGAAGGATACATGTTCATAAGGCTATGTGATGCAAGGCTATTCAGCGCCTTATAAATTCTTACACGATCAGAGGCCGCAATCGCAAATATGCTAATTTATTTTTATCAAGAGATGTTTTCTTCCGTAAAACCACTCAGTGGTTGTTAGCGGCAACGAAACGACCGCTATGTTCATGAGCGTTTTAGAAATTTTATCGATAGCCGTGCGGTTTTCAGTATATTCCATCCAGCCCCAAGAACATAAGTTCTTCAGTCTGGTTTGGTCAGAACCTTCAATCTAATTGGATCTCAAGACCTTTGTCAAAGTGGTGAATGCTCAGGCGTTCACTCTTATGAGGATGGCGGTTCGGATTACGTTTGTAGCTTCGCTCAATTGCGAAAACTAGTCGCCGCAGGCATTTTACCTCCATTACAGAGTTCCGTGGTTAACATTTTCTTACTCAAGCAGCAAACCGTCTCCAACCGTTATCTTCTTTCAAAATTCTGTAATGTGATAGTTAGTTTATGGAGGTCCATTACCAGAATAACCTCAAGAAAACACATTAAATGATCCGAATAATTTGTAATATTTGCTAGTTTTTGTTATCTTTCTACGGCTATAAATGCATTACAGAGTTGTCGTGTAAATACAAACATAGTTCTTAAAAGGTTAATCTTACGCCAGTTTTGTTTCTATAGCATGAATTAGCGAAACGTATGCCACAGAGAAAGTGTCTTAATTTACGATCAAGGCCTAACATAGTCGCATAATTGGGCATCTTTTGCTGTTATTTATGAAGTACTTGTATATACCTGAAAAAAACGGATGTAATAAAACCTAACGCTGCCCACAGGCCCGCCTGCTGCATTTAAGTACTCAAATTACACAACTATACTATCCAGGCCTTCCAAGGGAAAAATCTGTTTTTAGTTTTTTTCGGACAATAACGTACGTTTCTACACCGCATTTCTTCTTACGCATACGACTTGAAAAATAAAGCTCCGATTTGGTGACCGTGGTTTTAGTAAATTGTTTTAAATCTTATGCCGTCTACCAGAAAATTGATGACAAAGGCACTACGCTTTTGATTCTGTATCACAAAAACACACTTTTATATCCGGACGACTTTTTGGAGACGCGTTAAGAGAAGAAACAAAATGCGCATTCGATAGATTCCAAGATGCTCATTGACGTATTATCTACAGTAACTAAATTGTATCAGGATATGTAGATGTCCCCGTGTTGGAGTATTAATCTCTAGCATGACGATAAAACTACGTCATTTAAGTAATATTACTGAGCTCAACTGCGTCCTTTGTCAATATGTGCAAGCGCCTTGCATTTTTAAAATAGTAATAATTAAGTGGTTGTCGATCGTTGTACTTAATAGTTGGTTGCCGGCGTATCATGGCAGTAGGATTTGGCGATATGAGTGGTATAGTTCTCCATGACATAAGAGTATTAGCTTGTCAGATTATATTTTATTAATTGGGTTAGCACAGCTATTTAATTTAGATTGACGCAGCCACACGAGAGACCTTCACGCTGCCTGCGTATTATTGCTAAATGGTCTTTGGATATGTTCTCGGATCCTTAGCACAGAGTATATTAACGGATAGTCAGTATCCAGGAGATCATCAAATGTGCATTCTGCACAAGAATAAAGTGGTGGAAATTCTTCTAGTCCTTCAACTAGTTACTGTTTAATGCAGTAGGCAAACTTCCGAAATTCATATCTCTCAGTTATATCACGAAAATTATGGGCAGATTAATTTTTGCATCTATTACTGGCAGAGATGGTCAACAGGTTAGCAATACATAAAAACTTTTAAAAATTTGATCTTCCTGTGTTCCATGTCCTATCAAACATGGGATTACGTTCACAATTCATAAAACTGAATTTGCTGAAGCTTATTTGAATTCCATAAGGGCAACGACCTGCCATTAGACATAGTCGTAATTCGCGTGAATACGGATACCTAATCAAAGTCGTACGTTCTACTTTTGGACGTTGTAAGGTCTTTTTGGGAATTATTTTGCAAAAATAACGTAGAAAAACCGATTATTTGCTAGCCGAAGTTCTAAAATGCGTCTTCAATTAGGAACGATTATTTTATTGGTGATCATGCGGTATCGTCTTAAAATTCTTAGTCCCGCCAGGATGTCAGCATTGAATGCATTCATTGTTGACCGTTTGCGAAAATCGCAGCCGGCATGCAGCAAATGCTAGAGAACTTTAATGTTTCCTTTGAGGAGGTGATATCAATTCTCGCGGACTCCAGCTGAGTAAAATACCGGTTTGAGTGCATGCATTTTGGCACACGATCGTTACCCTTTTTAGCGTTGATACAGCCGATTCTTTTTCACAACTTTCAGCTCGTCAACAACAAAAGAATTATTAGGTGTAAATAATATTTCCTATGCAATTATAGGTCAGGTGAAAGAGATCCAATTAATATGAACCGAAAAGGAATTCAACAGAGTCGAAGCCAAACAAAGCTTCAAAAAATTGGGTGAGTAACATTTTGATAAATAGGCGTTTGTGGTATAGACCTCAGTACAAAACTCATTTCAAACTGGACGTTTGCGTTTAACAATCAAGGGTTTAAGTGGAAGAATGTCGCAATTAGGTTCTCGAGAAAGATTACTTCACCTTCATAGCACTCTAATTGGTATACATCTCCTATCTCAGTTTCCTAAGTTGGTAACACTAAATCGCATGGGAAAGTACCTGAGTTTCTCATATTCGTGTAACTCATGAAATATGTAATGTCTGGTTGTGTACTGGAGCTTTCTATCGATTTTATTGTTGCCAGTAGTTCGTTCCTAACTCCCTTGATGCGGAGAGTAGCTCAAAATGCTAATTCTGTTGGCTGATTCCCCTTCCGTAAGCTCACCTCACACGATAGGGCTTTTCGTCAAATAAACAATCCATCTAGATAGAGAAGGGGCTGCGCTGCGTCACCGTGAGGCCAAAAAGCAAGTCCACATAGATCGTGCTTGAAAAAATATTTTTGCAGTTGCTGATAGTTTAAATACACTGTTGTGCAGACGATAAGAATACCTGCTTGCGTAAAATACGCGCAGGGTGGGTACATATGCAAGTGGTATTACTTAGTAAAGGTTTTATTACAACTTTAAGACTCCGGCCATGTTACATTCATTTTTTTGGAAAAAATGCAATTCTTAGAACTATGAGTGGGAGATTAAAATGTACAAACGTCTGTCTTAATTAAAGGTTTGATCGCCTTTGATTTAAGAACCACAAGACTACATAAAAGGTAGTTTTTGTCAGATCAAACACTACAACCATGGTAGGCTCGCCACCAACAGGACTAATATTGCGCGATATAAGAGAATGACTGACGAACGTGCTTACTGAACATTGTGCGCTTTTATGGAGGACATCAATGAAATCCGTTTACTGCTATGTCAGATAACTGTTTTTAACTCGCAGAATAACTGCCACTTTGATAATGCTCTCTGAAAAATAGCACCGATTAGTGGACGCCGGAATGGACATTCCTGGCCTATTGTCATCGTCAGATAATCAGGTTAGGCAGACCCGAGGGCCAAGACCGGTGCCTTTAGCAATAAGCTATTGCTTCGACAACATTAAAGTTCCCAGGACTGCCCCGTTTTGGTAAGCAGTGGTCTGTCTTCCCCGTTTCATCGTCAAATGAACCCCGGAACACTTTCTTGCCTATTGAACTAACTTTACATCTCCTGTGTGTGTACAGAGACGTGGCCACCTACAGTGCATTTGCGTTGTCTTACAGGCATCCGGGAAGACAGGATAGTTACACTTGGGAGCAGAACAACGAAACTATTCGCATGGTTTCGGGAACCTCCCCGATCTCCGTGTAAGCGCCTAATTGTGTGTCGCGGTCAAAATTGCCACAAATGCGCACAATCATTCACGCATGCCTATACACACTCTTCTAATGTAAACTATGAAAGATGGAAGATAGTGGAGACTGTAAACTTACCCATGACTGCATTTTTGACCGTCCAAATACTGTTGCTTACAGCTTCTCGCAGCCGCACTTATGCACTTGATGTCATAGCTGAATCCAACTGCACTGTTTATAGCACAAGAAATTAACGCATTACACAATACTGCTTGTCGAAATTTAACAGTTTTATTTCCGCTCGATGCCTGAAAGTCAGCTCTTTGCCCATTGCTTGAGCATGGGACTTTTGTGTTTGTGTGTGTGTGTGAGACGTATCGAGCTCCTCTTTAGTGCACAGAGGTTGCAGGGGAGTTTGATGACTCGAGCTCCTTCAATGTAACAACCAGTGGTAAATCACTGGACACGATGACCTTCAGAAAATCTAAATCGGAATAATTTGGGCCATTCTAATGGAGGTACGAAAGTCCACATTTTTGCAAAAACATTTTTATCGTCTTGTCATAAGAATGTCTACATACAGGAGTGCATTCAACAAAACCGGACAGCGCGGGAGTAGCTAGCACTTTCTTGGTGGAGTTTGGCCCATAAGAGATTTATTTAAAGTGAGTATGCAATACGTTGATGCATTTATTAGGATTTCGCTGTGATCTCACTTTGCTATTAACGCATTTGTTAAGCCACATGGTCTGAGTAAGCGACGATTTGAAACTGAGCTCATGGTAGATCCTTCGTTAATTTAGCTATATCTAGCAGTGACTGGTCTTGACAAATTTTCGTAATTCAGTCTGTCAGTGAAAGGCGTTTAGCGGTAGACGGTTTCATCTGGAATGAGCTCGAGCATGCCCAACCGACTGACAGAACAAGCCAGCTATGTAAGCAAAACGATAGTGTCACTTAAGGAATGGTGATGTAATAGGAGTAAGGTTTCTAACAGGACAACAAAAAAACTTGCCTATGTGGATGATGCGACTAACAACCGACTATGTTAAGTTTGTTTATGAATTAATCTAAAATAGATCTTGTGCCATAAAGAAATTTTATCGAACATATCAAATATTCCTTGCCCTGCTGGCCTGTCCGCCGAATTACGCTGTGGGCTTACGCTTCTTAACGAAAAATCGAGGCCAAAATTTGTCAGTCATTATACCCTAAGAGCTTGAGGATCCCCAGTCTATTGTTGCATCTATGTATTTGTTTATGTAGACTGGTTGGTTTCCTGATTCACTAAGTCCACGTGTTGAGTTTTCATGCCGATTCCAAAGTCACCGTTTGGTACGGTAACGTAGGAGTCTGTCTACTTCCTACTCTCGCGCTCACTATCGGTTCCAATCGTCAAACGTCGTCTGTAAATCCAGTCTTTTTGAGGACACGTCCGGTGTGGACGCTTGAGCCAAACGAAACTTGTAGATGTTGTTTGACTGATTATTTTTCGTTTAACAGGAAGATGTGAATTTAAAGGAGATATGAAACAATCGAAGCCTTTTATTATCGGCCACGTAGTAATGCCTCAGCTTTGCAGTCGGTATCTTTGATCACTCACCAGAATATGTCGATTTGGAACCCCGTTATACCGCCACACTGCCATACGCATTGATATCTAAGCATTCTATTTGAAACATTCTGACCGACCACATTAGTGTGCCTGATTTCAAGCTTCACAGATTGAAATTTTGACTCCAGCTTACCGCCTTCTGTGTGCCGTCTAATTCACTTGCAAGGCAGAACGTGATAATAGCAGCTGCTTTTGCATCATGTCTAACTATTAACTCGTCTATGCCACCCAGTTTATGATTCCCCTAAGCTGTAAATACGACAAAGTACCTCACCCGGTTTTTCATTTAGTGCACTTTTCAGTCCAGAGGAATCTTTAGCCTCTTCTCCGAACGAGCTTCAGGAGCAAAGACTGTGAGTAGTGAATGATGCTTACTAGACTGATGGGATGATGTTTATTAATTGGTTTTGCGTTTTGTTCCGCAAACGGCTGTTTTCAGCCACTATTCGTTTTGTCTGTGATTTGACCTGTGGCCATTCTGATCTTTACTGGTACCTCTGAGTTAACGTAAAGTGCCCCGTTTTTAAATGACCTGACTATTTTGCGATAATGACCAAGGCATTATAATAATTGCTGCTTGAAGCGGAAAACCTATTATTAATTACCGCATTTTCTCCCTTCCATCTCTTTTGATTTTCCATACTCTCTAGCTTTTGAATACTTAATTTAAACACGACCTTAAAGGGATCCTTAGCAGCAACTTTTCTCTGGCAAATAAACCAGTTACTCTGCTCATCTCTTAACTCTGACTTGCCGGAAATACAGGTTTAGGACCAGGCCCATGCTTAAGCATATTTTGTGACTGACCACAATTGTTATCTTCTCATCTATTTCCTACTGGAACAGTTTGCCCTCCATTGTATGCCTTTACTTTACGTAAGAATATTTCAGTCATGTTTGTAGGTGCACATTAATCCGCAAAAATCTAAACATCCGTCTTCATTACATATCAAGGACAGTTTTGCAGTGCAACCTGTCCTACCATGTCAAGGTTACTAAACTTTCCTACAGAAATTAGCGGCATGAGACACCCCGTAGTTTATTAACCTGACATATCGGCGGAGCTCGTTAATAAACTTACCAATAATGGATATAGCACCAATGGTAGAAGACCTCAAAGCAAGCTACATATGTCTTAGTAAATACCGGAGAAAACACACTGAGCAGGGAAAAAATGCCCGGCCATTGAAAAATATCTCCATACGCGCCTTGCGTTACGTCGATAATTCTAATTTATAGTAAGATGCGTGCAATCCCCGAGAGGTCTTCCTTGCTCTGAGGTTTTGTAAAACAGTTTCCTCTCTTTACAAACCATGCTGATGGGACCGTTCTGTCACTTTTTATTTAATTTTGCTTAATAATGCCAGTTAAAGAGGCTTTCTTTTAGATAACATCGGGCATCCAGTGCACTTACTCTCGTTATCCAAATGAAAGGACTTTAGGAAAAATAAATTAAATCCCGTGATATGTCCTTGAAAATACACACTCCAGTATACGTATGTAATTGGGGCATAAGCTGCTACCAGATTTCTACAGTGTCGAATTTCGGCTAGCTTTTGATAATACTTTAAAGTAGGCTTTGGATTCTTAAAAGCCACAGGATCTGTTTCATAAGATAATGTGGAAAGCAAGGCATTAATTGTATTTGTAACCCATAACACTAGTATTTTTCATGCCAGCAATTATCGACTGTTTTTTGTTAAGACGGACAACAAGCAAAGGGTATTCCCGAGCTATTTACTCGCGAACCGAAAGGCGAATGGATAGACAAATGGAGCACCAACAAAACAGGTAAATACACACCACATTTTCCGCGCATGTTGTTAACTTGTCTACTTACGTTTTCTGTATGCTAACCAGAAAATTTGTAATTGTTCATTTCTGCACTGATCGCACTGCCTTTAACCCACTTCAAACGGAATTTGGTTTGCGGCACAGTTTCACTAATTCTCCCTGTGCGAGACTTGCTTCCGCGAAATTTATCGGTGCTCAGAGACTTATCAGGGTTATTAGCCTATAATAATCGTTATCATATGGAAACCTCGGGCGCAATTCACCGAACATCAATTTCCACATGAGTTAAGGCGTTTGACGTTATACTGATAAAGGACGAAAGAACTATGTAAAATATTTCAGATGGAGGAAACAATTAGGTCATTTACCCTTTGGACCGAGTTACGATGAAATTGGATTAGGAACCGAAATTTAGATTGACCTGATCTTTAGGTCAAATAATAATATATGCATAAACCACTCGTTCTTTTCTAACCGCTAAATAAAAAGCGCTGGCTGCCTGCATACTTTGAGAATGTGGCGCCAGTCCACTGCGAAACCGACTTTTACTGTTTGCTCTCTGGTGAAGCTTATCAGAGCTTTTGCTCACATCTTTAGATTGGTCACATATGATTTTATGGAGGGGCAAAAATGCTTCCTTGTCTTCTATTATCTTCTGCTCAGTGGATATTTACAGACCCCCAACTCCCGGCTACGGTATCAGCACCTATTATAAGATTTGGCTGAAAATAGATGTATCCGCTTCAAATGGCTACGACGGGCCTTTTACATCTATTTTTCTAACTATAGAGACATCATTCATGCCCGAAAAACCATTCTAACCCCGCCGTTGCCTCACCAATAGGCCATTGATTATTTTTAAAACCTAAACAATGGAATCGTAAAGTTTCGTCGAATTATAGCTGTGCAAGTTGCCGAAGAGCAATCAGCATCCCGCTGTAGTGTCCCATGTAGCAGGCAGAAATAAGACTCATCCGCTTTACTTCACGCAAGAAGTATTATCAATAGATTGATAATCTTAATTTCAGGCTCAGCTTTGCGCGCTATCCTGTCTTTAATTCGGACCTAGAACAGAAAAAAAGGTGTTGTTGGAAATGCGTGTCTATATCCACATTGTCAGCGCAGATTCACACTGCTAAACCATTGTCAGCGCATTTCCCTGATCTATTTTATTCAAGTATCTAAAAGTTTAGTCGGCTAACCATTCCATTGTACATCCATGGTTATCCAGAAATGTAGATCTGGCCAATTGTTCTTACTCAGAGGCTACGACGGACCGTTTTCAGACTCCTTGATCAGTATTAATTGCGTCTGTCTCAGACTTCTTTGCACAGTTGTTACGAATACTATAGTGATCGGGGCTTGTCAGACTGAGCGGTATCTCCATCATATGTGAAAGGATGTGTGTTATCGAAATTTCCGAATCCCTCCATCCCTTCAGTATCCCCGTCATAATCACTTGGCCTAAACCCTCCATCACCGCTCATCCAAGTGTGGCAGTTTTCGCCTCTGTGTGGCCAGTAGCACACGGTGTGTTTGATCAACAACCAATTTTAAAGTGCATTTTTGCCTGTTTCAAGGACCCGCGAGGAGTCGCAGGAACGCGTTCTCTATGCGGTCACTCCACACGACTGCGTAGTCTCCAAGAATACCTATGCAAAGTAATTTTCTCGGTCCTACTTTTTCCTGTCTGTGCCCTCACTGGATGGCCGTAGTTATTACGCACGCCACCAAACACTTTACTTTCGTTCACTCCCATTTGGCCTCAGTTTTCACGCCATGGTCCACCTCAGGTCTTCAGTGATCCTAACGGCACAGCAGCGTGCATTTTAACCCCGGCCTAAAACGAGCGAGTTTACCGCACGGGACGCGAAAGACTGCACTTAAAAAACCGCGCACAAACAGTGCTTTGTCTTCTTCTGGTTTCACGGAATGAAAAAACTGTAGTCTCTAAAAAGACACTTTGGTCAAGTGTTTTAAAGGATTCGTACCTAAGCTCGCTAAACATAGTACTGTCCGACTGTACTTAGTCCTCTCTAACTGGTCGGTCCTAATGTTTGTGATCATGTAAAACAGTCATTGTACATTTCGGACAAAAGAGAAAGCTGCCTGCTCATATGTCTCGGGGAGAATATTTTTAAAAAGTTTGTTTGCTGTGAATCTGTGCGATAGGTGACGCGTGGCTTCACATGATTGTGCTAAGCAGTTCCAGTATCACGCACAAACAACTGCACATTTCATGTGACTATTTAAGCTTGCATTTATTTGTGCTTGAGTGTTACCCAGTCGTCCAACGGACTGCATTTACTCCCTGCTGTGCAAATTAGTTCCCTGGAAAAACGAATGCGCTGTTGACCGCAGGCGCCATTAAACCTCGAATTTCATAACATCACCTTCTGTTGAGTTGATGTAGAATGAAGTTTTATTTCGAAAAGCAATCCCTTAAAGCATATCACTAGGGCCAGAGCACAATGAACTAAAGTAATATTGGTGATTTGCATGTGTAGCTATTTTCCGGTAAGTTGCAAGCTTTTCTTCTTCGCCATGATGTAGTTCTGAAGATAATAAAATTATTAAATTATTATTATTTAACTCGTTGCCCGCTTGATAATATCTAGGCGCCTGACAAAGCTATAGCCAACTTATGAAATATCTAATATGTCGGATGAAACAAAATTTTACATTTTTAACTAATGGTTCAAATTTGTGATCGGACATTGTCATGAACATAAGTTAGACACCTTCAATTTAGTAACTGCTGGTACACCCTGTTGACTACAGGACATTACTTTCTCAGTGTGAAAGTCCTCTGGATTAAGAACTTGTACTGGATAACTTTGGATGTGCACACCACCGAACAGTTACTACGACGTTTGGTAACAACTTTTTAATCAAGAGAAAGCTTTTACCAATTAAGGGCCATCAGGTTACCCCACTAAGCAACTGTCGTTGGTTCTAGAGATTTAATCTGTGTAGTACGTCAAACACCGACTATAAACTTGGATGTTTTCCACTCACTAAAGATATGCGAACCAATTGACTAGGGGACGAATGTTGATTTGTGTTCATTTCACTTACCACTGGTGTGTCAAGCTATCCAAGCAATAAGGCTCGCGTGTGGAGCAATGACTGAGTAGTCAATTTTATATAGTCTGGTATCTTTTGAGTCTGCTTCAATAATTACTCTTAAATGGTGCAATAATCAACAATGAGGGTGTCTACTTTCCCTTTTCAAGGCGTAGGTAATGTTGGGCAACCATACTGAGTCATAATAACAGTTTATACTTAATTGATGTTTCCTTGTCGAGTGCTCCGTTAGGTATATGTAATGTTTTCGCGTTGTGTTAATTTGTCTTGTTTTGACGTTTTCTAGTCTAAAGTAGAGGTTAAAAATGTGAAGCTATTACTATTTTCATAAGTAAATAGAGCAACCTATGAGTTTCAAAATATCCTACTCTATGATTTTAACCAGCCAATATATTTTTCTTTACGGAATGCACTAAATTTATCAATAATAAAACAGCGAATAATTTTCAGTTAATCTTATGAAATACGTGTGATGCATTTCGACAGTGTTTACAGCCGAGACTCGACTGACTCCGACTTCTCCCTTGACTACAGGCGCCAAACAACAATGTACGTTTTTGTTCACGGTCAGAGCAATTTAGTCGTTACACAGTGAACACAAGATCACGATCTTTCCTAAAAACTTATTTGAGTTCGTAGAAATTTACGATGCACTTTATTTCTTATATATTTACTTTGCTAGATGGCTTGATAAATCAGTAAAAATTGAGGAATAACTATGATTAAATAAAACTGTCTTAAGATGAATTAAAATTTCACTCAGAATGCCAAAGTGACCGTGAGTAATAATAATCTGATTATCACCTGGCATATGGCTAAATGACTGTAGCTCAACAGAATCCTGGCTGACAAAAGCAAATGCCCCATTTACCGAAGATTTCAATCATGGATTTGTGTTGTTTGGGAATGGAAGATGGAAGCATTATCACTTTTTCGTCGGTTAATACTCTAACAGAAAAAACTAACACTGTGAGGTACACTAAAGATTTTGAATGTAGAGTTTAAAAGATATTAATCGCCTGCTATAAGATTAAGCCAACCTCTCTCAAGACCTAACTTAATTGTTGTGATGTCCCAAGACAGATCTATGACGGACGTGTCTTAATTAACTGCGTTGGATGAAAACGCGGTTATCTGATACCCTACAATAAGGAGTTTATTGCAAGGGCAGCTTTAGTTAGAACACGTTAAGTTGTTTTCTCATTACGACGATTTGCCGTAGCTTGAAAAACCGCAGCAGTAGACGCGGATACCGTGTTCTACAAAACTGGTGAGCGGGCCTAAATTTTGCATATATATGGAAAAAATATGTATTACTGAATTCCTAAGTATCTCACTCTCCTCTCTGTCTCAACAAGACGAACAGAAGCGATATAAGTCTGCTCCACATGCCTGCTATCAAGAGGTGCATACTTTCTGAAAAAGGCTAAGTGGTTAACTATGACAAACTAACCGATTAAACACCAGAAGCCTAGTTTCGGCTTACAATTTTGCAGTAGTTTACTAGTAGGAGATGGACTAGTAAATAAGCCTTTTCGAACCTGAGTGATCTACGTATGGTCTTCTGTGAGTTATTTCGCACTATCAACACTGTGTACATCTCCTCGTTTTGGAGCACCAATATAAAAATCCTCATTTTATTGGATCTTCCTCAGATTATAAATATTTCATCTAGGCCCTAGGCTACATTTTACTTAGAAAGTTACATCGTTACCTTTTACCTTCTCGTTCTTTTGGATAAACTGCACTTTTATCTCATCTATCTGTCTTGAGTGATTTTACAAATCTTCAGGAAACCAGTTTCTATTGTACGGGCAGATCACCATTCAAGTCGTTCATCTTCTCGAGGAGAGTTAGTGTAAGTTAGAGTGGCCTTACTGTTTAGTTTCATACATTTCTTCCGTGCACGCGGTACCATGAAATAAGCACGTGCAAATTTTGAAGTCGGAGCTCCTAACTTTGCGATAATATCATAATTAGCACAATGTCTGGACACATTCGTCTCCTATGACGTTATAACAAGGCCGAACAAACTGATATTAACTGGAGAGGACCAGCTTTTAGTGTGGGTTCGGCTTTTCCAAGATATTTGTGCACAGTAGATCGTAAGCGCTTGTGTAAGGAGACTGCGACCTCCCCTATTTACCTGGTGAATACTTCGTTTCGCCTTGACCTACCCTGCTCTCCTGTTTGAGCGGCTAACAGTTAACGCTTCAGCCAAGGTTTATTATTTTTATCCACCTTGGGGAAGGTTTCTGCAAATTGCCCTGATAGTAGTGATGGGGACGAAAGTCATAATTTGTTAAAATTTATGCCAGTCAATTTTTTGTGTGATGCAACACTTTTAAAACTTATAAATGAGGTAGGTAGCAGTGTCCCAATTTCTGTGGGCTACAAAAATGATGAACTTACAAAGATGCGCCGCAGACGTTTGGAATGTGCTTCTTTGAGAATCCTCCGGGATCTACCATCTACAATTAGATGGACCACTTAATAAAGAGTCTGTATGAACATTAGGTATAAGATAATATTGCGTTCCAATTACTGGTTTACCCGGCTATTTCTACTACTAACACTACACATATGCCTTGCTTAGTGCAAAGTTTAGCAAACGCATCCCTTCTTATGCGAACATGTGAATGTGGTTTTTAATCAGCACGGATTTCGTCCTCGGCGGCAGAATCGGTACTTTTTTAAAGCACCCTCGTACTGAATTGGCATAGAACCATTAGGGAAAAACAATGATGACACGTAGGCTAGCGGTTCTGGTGATGCAAGGACACGGAGTTTCCCAACGGCAGTTACCAAAGGAAAATCTTTTTTATTCAGAAGTGAGAGGAACTGGTCTGTAGCTTTGCTGACATATTTTGTAAAAATGTTTGGTGCAAAGTGTCTAAGTCTGTTCAATTTCACTGGAGCTTAACACTATGTGTAAACCGTTTATATTAAATCTATCAAATCCAGTGATGTGGCCCCCTAGTGTACGTGGGTGACAAATAGAACAATTAAGGATAAGAGCCATACCCACAATGTTCTGTCCAGGAAAGCTGCTGAAAGTTCAGTGAATAACTTAGAAGGTGGTTACGCTCGACTGTACATCTGCAGTAATATCAAAACGAATAATAAATTATAAGGTGGCCTATCGTTGATCCAAATCACCTCGCAGCCCTTTCATACAAATGTAGAAATTCGACTTCCAGCCAGGACCTGACTTACGTACTGCCGTTTCCTAGGTGTATGTTTCAATCCGTCTATGTGAATCAGGCATTTTAAATACAAGGCCGTAAAATAAAATATGTATATATAATCATGAAAACGTGTGCAGCATCCAGTTTTGAACCTCCTGTCTCGGGACGCCTACAGTTGCATAATTTCTCAACTATTTTTTCATGTTTTCTTGAAATATAGGTTAAGTCCGAGCTTAAGACATCAACGAAGATCCAGATCGCAATCGCCAGTTAGGAGACAGTCGCAATCGCCTCAAAGGCAACCTGTGTTCAAGTACGCATTATGTTTTGTTTCTATCACTTTAAGATGTACCTTGACACTGCAGCGGACGTATTTTAAACGACTTAGTATCAGACTTTCTGTTTGGGATTATGGTGCTAGTTTAAAACTTGGTGCGCAACTATTATTTAGCCCTTATAATGAGACGCGCCTTATAAACCGAAAAAGTTGGGTTTATAATAAATTTCTTTGTTTTAGTACGCCATATCTTGAAATAGCAGTAAAAATGCAACTATCTGATGACACGTCGAAACAAAAACGAATGTCCGTCAGGAGAGATAAAATAACTGCTCGAAGCGTCAGACTTTATATAAACCTCTCTTGTTGAATGGCTATGTTTATTTTGACATCGTGCTTTGTTGACATGAGATAGGTAACTAAAATGCCACATTAAGTCTCCTCTGTCCCTTTTCAGTCTATTCAATTATTTTTAACTAACAAAGCTAGAATCATCTTCAAATAACACGATTGACGAGGACTAAAGCTTCAACATCGTACACGAAAATTATCTCTTTAAACGCCGAAGCATCCTATCAAACGAAGTGTTTGAGACAGTAATTAATCCGACAAACCAGAACACTGATTATTTATCTCATCGTATAAAAACCCTGCTCTTTGATTCTGTTACTATACTATTGGGTGTCATCCAGGGTGGTCGTGAAAGGACCGGCGACCCAGGTTCCCATCCCCCTGGAGGACACTTCAGATTCAAGGTAACTGGGATTAGTGAGCATTCTTGCTGTCATTGCGAACAGTCGCTTGCCTTTTCTGTCTATTTGGCTTCACATATTTTACTGAGGTGTTTACGTTGGGCTTCCTCTCTGACCAACTTTATTTTGGAGAGTTTTTGTAACAACCTACACTTGGCAGTGTACTTCCTGCCCCGTTACTTTGTGGCTGGACAAAAGTGTATTATGAATTTAGCTATTTAGTCATGAACGATCGCGAGTTGCCGAACATGAGAGCAAGTAGCACATCATTCAAAGCGTAAAGTGATCACATTGCTCATGCACTGATCGTGCATTTTTCGCACGTTTTGCGGTTCTACTTTCCTGTTTGACAAGTACCACTGATTGACGGTCACTCGGGTGTCCGACATAAGTAATACGACTCTACCATCGATAGGCAAACTAAGGCAAAAGATATTGTTTTAAGTGACTTATTGTCATTTTCTCTCATTTTTCGTGCGGTCAGATGACGACAGAAGCGTATCGTCTAACGCATGGTCCAAAAACTGCTTTTAAATGACAGGATGAACAAATATTATTTCGTCAATTGTGATACCCACCTCCATAGAAAATATTGGATTGTTTTCGTTCATTCAGCTGTACGTAAACTTTCGAACCAAATGCCTTGTGTCGCCTATCTGTGCACTGCCAAATTTTCTAGGATCCCCTTTCTGAAACAGGTTTTTAATCGGGTTCTTTAAACTTAAAGCCAATTTTCTGTGTTAGTAAAGGGACGTGAACCACTTAGCATCTTGTCTGAAGGCAGGCATAAGGAGATTTTAGATCATCAATTGGTGGAGGAGTGAATTCCGTTGATACACACCGATACACCTACACAAAATATGGAAAATACCACATTTATTGAGCACGATACTTCGCGTCATATATTGCTTTGGGTGTTAACTAATTGGGACTTGGCTTACGAACCGACACTGCTCAAAGTTAACAGTATGCGTAAGAAAATTTTTACTCTGTGGGTTTATTTAGGGATTTGTTGGGAACATGTGTTTTTAAGGGTTCTGTCGTGTAAAGTGAGCATTATCCGCTTTTTCAGCTCGACTTCCGCTTGTGTAGAACAAAGGGCTCAACCTGTGAAATTCAAAGTTGAACCATTAATATACGAAACGCCCCGGAGAAGAAGGTTGGAAAACATCCTTTACTTCATAATATCACTAAGTTTTATGCATTCTTTTAAAGCTGTCTGCGCGTATTCTCCTGCATCTGCATACTTCCTATGTGCTTATTCACCTAGACAGCCACTACATCTTGTATGCATTAGGCTGGGAAGTCGAATTACTCTTTATCATCCATCGTGATTCATCGAGCATTAAACAACAAGTAGGATAATAAAATGATCCTATTCGAAAAATTTGAAAACACGTTAGTACAACGTTTCGACTGTTGGTGTAAGCGGGTAAACATTGCGTTGGCAAATATGTAAATGAATTGAAGGTAGGACTAACTTATATGGCCTCCTAAATAGGAGTTGAGAACAGCCGTCGCTTGCAATACGGGTGGCTTTGAGCCAACTTCCAGTGAATTGAGGGTTTGGTTTAAGTTTATGGTTAAAGTTAGGTTAAGTAATATGTTTAAGGCTAGATCTAAGATTGACCGTAAGTCGGGGTCAAGTTTACGCTAGGATTATTGTCAAGGTTAGGACAGGGGGCCATTTTGCCCTTTCTACAATTATGTGTAGGTCCACCTCCATAAGTCGGTCGGGCGTTCTTATTCCCAAGTCCTGTTTAGGGGACCATATAACTCAGTCCTATCGAATTTAATTTAAAATGCCTATCCGTTTTATGGCATCCAGTAGCATATGAAAGTTAAACGAAAGCATCGATATTGAGGACCGTTCTTACTGAAAAGCATTATGCTTTGAAACATGTCAACTGCATTTAGTAACTTTGCTTAAATTCCATTTTGACTTATTGCAGTTAGCGGCAGTTATCGTTCATAAGGGTTCCAAGGCAATATATAAATATTCATCTTTGTTTTGCCAACTGAATAGATCAAAACACACCACTGCTCAATCAGACTCTATTCATTTCTTTCGAATTTATATTTTCAAGCTCAGACGGACAAGGATTTAATACACTTTAAAAAATATTGTCCAATATACAGCTCTTAATCCACCGTGCAATGTTTTGAAGTTCCAAAATATTTCGATATACGAGATTTTGAGTACATACAAGGACTTTTTAGAATTCGTCTCAGTAACTCGAAATCGGTGGCTGACGACTCTCGAATTTCTTTCGTAGGTAAAATTCATGGCATCGTCTCATAGTTATGTGCTGACTTTGGACATTGTTTTAGTTATGTCAGTCCAGGAAACTGAATAAACTTAGCCCATTTTCTTTCTGTGTGTTTTATTAAATTTTGGACATTTAAAAGCACAGTTGCCTGCATATCCTATCCATGTGTAGTTTAATGCATCTTTTTTCGCTCTCTGCTACAGTTTTGTGAGTAGTCCCCTCGGATTCAACCGCGGTTTGACGCGCGAAAACTCTTACGTTTGCCACATGCACTGCCGGAAATCAAGGTATATAGAAGATAAATCCTAGAATTTATTTTATATCCACAAGAATGTTTAAATGCTGCAGCACTAAGTCTCTTAGCGCTTTGTCAAAATAAAGTAAACTGTTAATGTACATTTTTAATTCCTACTACCATACGAACCAATTAGGGTTTAAGTCAATGTTAATTAAAAAAACGACCCTTTAGGACCATTTCAACAAAGTCAACGGCGTTAGCCAGTATTCACTGAGAAGAAATCAAGTTAATTTCATAATCGATTTCCACTAAAACTATAGGCAGATATTAAGACAGCGTCATCTAGGGTATTTCGTTTACAAGAGCGCATGTTCGACTTCCCTTATTTGTTACTTAGGCCTGCAACGCGAAAGTGTACAAAGCACTCTTCAGAGCATGCCTGGACGGCACGTTTCTATGCACACTGCCACCAGGCAGTATTTGCAGAAGTTGTTTCTGGTAAAAACCCTACACTGCAGTGAGGCAAGACTTTTATTTAATCCACTGATGGCATCTCCTTTGCACTTTGGTAAGGAACCGAGATAAGCATGTGTCGCATATCACGTGGCACATCCTGTGCCTAAGGGAATTACTAGCGGAAAGTAATACCTCCAAAAACAAAACAACATGTGGTAACCATACCTGACTTACTAGACTTCGTTTGCCATCTGTACGAAACCGAGGGTTCAAATAACCTGAAATTCGAACCCAAATACTTTGTTCACTGGGTATTTTTAAGTTCAGCGCTACATCTGATGTATGGGTCTTAATCAGGTTATCCTTTTAAATCTAGATCCCCATCGCCCAGAAGGAAGCAAGTTGAACCTTGTCAACAGGTTCCTGTACAGTGTGCCCGCCTGTAAGTTATTGGTATTTCTTAGACTGGTGCTACCTACTCTTATGCAAAGTTAATATTTTAGAGCTTCATGGAGAGTTTGTACCATCTAATTACTTCAATTCCCTAGGATTGCCGAGTGTGTGCCACTTCAACAGTACGTATCATCCAGATGATTTCATAAAACTACTCTAGCGGTGCCTATTTCGTAATTATCGTGAAAACATCTCTTACAAAGTTTTTTCATACAAATAGGAATGTGGAGGATCCTGAAAACAGCGTTCTACTTCACCATGTCTGCAAGCGATGTCAGCACGAGCTAGATCATGGAGCATATGTAAAAGGGTATGCGTTCTCCATTATACTGGCTTAGTCAGCCCTTCACTTAGACTTCCAAAACTCATACATCGGTGATCAGAAATGAACTCAAAGTAACATTTTAATATTATATTCTAAGCTAAAATTCCATGCCAACACACCGATGCTTTCATAAGCATTTTTTCCGAACTTATCTGAATTATGTTCGTTTGTTTTTGGTTAATGGCACACCTTAAAATGTCTTTTTAAAAGGTTAGAATTCAAACGGTCATTAAAAAGGAAGTCTTTGGGATAAAAGTTGTAGGCCTGACAAGTGCACTACAGTGCCATCCCGTATAAATTTATTCTTAGGTGCTTTTTATTATTGTTCATTCCGTACCGAATACCGGCGAACACATTGAGGAAAAGCAATCTTATTTGGATCTCCTAAATGACGGACTATTCAAAAAAGAAAAAGTGACCTGGAAACGTTTGCGTTTTGCCTCTCATTTCGGCCTGATCATACATGCTATCAGCCATGCACCTATTTTAATCAAGGGCAGATTTATAAAAAGGAAATGCGGTTTTTCTTGCAGTCCAAGCAACGTAGGCGAAAACCTGACTCACGCAGAAGATAATACTCCTGTTTGACCTGAACCGCGGACAGAAATTTGCTTTCCCATTCCCTTTTTGAGCTTGTTTTAAACGACTCGTTTGGTCCTGCTGATTCTTGTGATAGAGGTTTGTGGTGAAGTTGGATCGCATTTTGGAATGGGTGTAAAGTGGATTGAGGTGCCTTCGATTTCCAAGTGTTGTCAGTCCCCGATCGAAGGAATATCAGGCTAACGGCTGTCCGGATTAGTATTTATTGAAACACATAAGGAAATGGGATCCATTTTTAAGAGGATTTTTTATTTAACATGCCCGGACTGCCAATAAAATAGAGATTTGGCGCGTTGTCGTAATTTCAAACGTTTTAAGGTACATTAATGTACTTTCGACTTCCTTAATATCGACCAAATCCCCAAATTAAAATTTGCTTCAAGGCAACCCACCGCTGAAGTTTTTTTTATAAATACTTAATTTCCATTTGAGTCCTCCAAAACGGGCCACGTGAGAATTGCGTTGAACCAACACGAAGACAAGATCAGTGTACGACTCGTGTTAATGGGCTGAAAACCCAAATGCCATACGAGGGTATAGTGGCACATCTAGCTGCAGGTCCACACCTCGTCAGCCATCTGCGCCTGACCTCGCCTCCGATCTTCATAATTCTGTCTTGACAAGCGGGTCCATGGGGGTGAGGAGGAGGGAATGTGGTAGATGAAGCACAGGTCGTCTTCCTTGTGTCCACCTTGCTGTGAGGCACACTGTGGACATCGTCGAGAATGACAGTCGAACTGTCGTAATCTCCTAATTTGCACGCATATCACGAACGTGGTCTCTCAAGCTATATGTAACCGGTTTTTCATGTTGTTGCTACCGTAACTTTTTTTAAGTGTGAATGCGCTTCCGCCGAATCTTTTACTGAGTTTGCATCATTTCAAAGATATTCAAAGCTGATTTACCTAGTCAAACAAAGGCGGTCTCATCAGCCCCGATCAATAACTTATTCCGAGTACTATCAGCCGCGGGAGAGATATCTCAACGTTAAGCGCGTAGGAAAAGGCCTCATCAGAAGAAGCGTGAACAGCGAATGGGATAGATTCCAGGAGCGTTGACAAATGTAAGACAGTACATCAATATTTAAACGTTACAGAGAGTCGTCAGTGGAAGAAGACTGTTCGACCCATCCTGTCGGAATGGGCTGAAATGGCAATTTGGGCAAGTCTATGGATGTTCTCCGTATCTTTGCCCATTTGTTTTAAATGTATCAACTGAAGGTCAACTAACGATGACGTGAACGTTTGACGCATACCTGATTTACTGTTTTAAGGCAAACGGGGTCGCCAAACCAGATATATTTGATGACTGATTAGTTCTATTTGGAGCCTATCTATGAGTATACATGTCAGGCATCAAATGAAAGAGTCGGGATTTTGAAAGGTCAAACGGCTTTGAAGAAACTGTCTGACAATTGCATAAACAAATACCTGAGGATGAAATTCTAATTCGGGAAATGGAAACGAAGTTAAATATTGCAACGCATGAAACCCTGGGTGGCCGTAAGTTCGGCAATGAAGCATCCAATGTGGTCAGACGAGATGAAGACCGCAGTGTAGGATAGCTTTGGAAAGTGGGATTCATATTTCTGTTTATTCCACGGACATGGTGACAGACTTGAAGTTTAGGTTGTTTTGTGCTGTCACCCAACAAAGCTCAAAGGCTACCTAAGGCCCAAGCAAACATTGTTACACTGAAAAGCATAATTTATTATTACCGGCATGCACCAACAATCACTGCAGAACTAAAACACAAAGCAACTGTAGCTGCAGCTGACGGTCGCTTACGGAGACAAGGATGGGTGATATCAGTAGCTGTGTTCGGAAATAATGCGTACCCATTACTTACCGGCCGGGTTTATCGGACAAATATCAGATCCAAAGTGTATACGTTAAAAGAGTTTTTCATGGGACGCCGGAATAGGAACCCCGTCCTCCTGATAAGAGTGGCACTGCCCTAGATCCTGGGGAGTCTAGATTTAGGGTCAAGGTCAGAGCTAGGTATCGTGAAAAGGCGCTCCTCCTGGAATCTACCGTATGACCACCTATATTACAGTGAGGATCCTATTTCAGTGTTTTAGCCAGTTTTCTTCCGAAAGTAACTTGAAATCACTTTCCGAAACCACAATACAGTTTTTTCTAGATAGGAACTTCAGGGTTGGGTATGACTGGCTAACGACGGCTAATAAGCCAGAAATGGCCATTGCAGTCTCCCTTGTCTTTTTCGGTAGTACCATTCGACTCTTTGTATACTTAAGAGGATCCGTTGCATGTCATCCAAGAAAACGTCATGCTAATACCATACGATTGCCCAGATCGTTCATACAACTCACTTTTCTTTCAACAGCGGACGCACTTTACGCCGCAGTCGCTCCAAAACGAGGCACACACATTGTGTTGCGGACAGTGGCTGCGCCAATGACAGTGAGGAGTACATTGGAAGCGGTGAAATCTATGCCAATAAGTAAGCTATTGAAATAATCTTGGAACCCCTATGTTCGCTCCCCTTTTCACAGATGCTTTTTAACAGCGTCGACTGGTAGTTTACTTGATCTTCTTGGTTTTGAGTAAACGGTACGTGGAGTATGCGGTGACTCATTATATAAAGAACAACAAAATACTCGCTACCTTGAATTTGAACTCATCGTAAATGATTAGGCTTTTTCCGCATCAGAAATTCTGCTCATCCTGCCTACGATGCCAGCTCAGATGAGGTGTACGCCATTGTGGAGTTTTCCAAATCAAAACTTGGAACGTCAAGGCAAGAAGGATAATCTTTACTGTAACTGATTACGTGCAAGCAACCCAGAGGGCCGTGTCAACAATTGTGTAGTCGGGCGGATGGTCAGCGGGCGTGATTAGTGCTTGAACGCGAGATTTGAGCGTGCGCCCGAGACATATCCTCCAGCAGTCAACCCACGAACGGCAAGAATACCGATCAGCACCAAGGTTTTGTCGTGTGGGGAGTCGAATCACGTGCCGCAGGGCATCCACCTACAAAAGGGTTTTGGTCAGATCACGTGAAATGCGTCTGTGCCGGCAGGCTTGAAAATATGTAAGCAGGCTGCTGCAAACAGATTAACTTAACCCATTGTCTAAGCCAACGCGTATTCATAAATGGCTCAAGTAGGAAATGGTCAGTAGTTTTAAGTCTTGATGTTTTCTGGCAATCCGCAGTTTACCCGAATACCGACTGAGAAAATCCACAAAGTAAAGGCAATTGGGTAAAAACATGTGTGTAGAAACAGGAGAATCCGCCAAGAACTAAAAAATTGCCTCAAATGAAATAATACGCTGGGAGATGGCGATAGCAACAAGATAACACTGTTTATTGATGTAGAAAGGTTGAGTTCTTTTACACATATAGCTGTCGAAGCGGAACTTAATAATAGCATAAAAGGCGTCTCCATGATCAAATAAAAAAGTATAAAAGGGGAGCATATTTCTGTTAACCGTCCGACATTAACAATATGCTGGAGAAACAAATGTCAGTTTCCTGAAAATTTATTTTTTCAAAGGCAGAACCGCAGGTGGTACTGTGCCTCATCCAGTCGATCACATATAAGATATCCAGCTTCATCCACATACCTTCATCACATCTATTACATCGGATTTTCCAGCCATCGCAGTCACATGGTCCATGACTTCTCACTAAACCAAACTTCAGTTCATACCTTAATTCAGCATCCGCGTAGAATTTACTAACCAGGTCAGATACATTGACCGCCCTCTCATCCAGTAAGCCACATGAAATGCACATCATTACTCAAAAGCTCTCCTAACCGGAAATACTATTTCAACCTTCCTGTGGGTGAAGCTATGCTGACGTGTAAAAAAATTCGTTTTTGACATGCTGTCAAGATGGTTAAGGAAGCTGTTGTTAATGCTTCCCGACACCTGAATTCCGAGTAATTATGACCTTGTATTAAAATGTTATTTCCTTATTCAAAGAGCCTTCATGAAGTGCTACCAAGGAAACGGACGTGCTCATTCCATTGGAAGAGGTCGCGACGTAAGTCGAAGCTAAGTCTGTATCTTGTGATCTGTTAAAATTTAGTGATAATTTCCTTTTCAGTCGGTAGACACTGTTTGCGAGAAATGACAAATATACGAGGATTTACTTCACCTCTGTGAATGTTTGGGTAAAAACGTTAAAGACTTGTTTCCCGAAAACAAAGCGTCTGCAGAATAATAATGATAATCGCCTAAGTTCCTGTTTAATTACATTTGAAACGATTGCCTCACTAATAAATTCTAGTAAGGAGGGAGAACTATATTAACTCCTTTTAGAGATGGAATAATTAAAAAATTCAAAAGTGCTCCTATTGGGGTTTGATTGTGTTTTGAACGTTTTGCATTTTTCTCACAATCAGAATTCGAGGCCCATCTATGCTGTCCGAAGCTTCCTGGATATCAGGGGCTGTAAGTTTCGATTGATTGTGTTTGCACCATGCAGACAATTCATATTGTTTTCTTTATCTACAGAGCAATCCAAGTGTGCAGGAGTCTGCCTTAGTAATGTAGTGTATAGATTTGTCATTTTCCGTGTAATAATGGCGGATAAAATCCAACATTTTGGGAACCAAACGAATATTATGAAAAACACGCATCTCGGGAGAATCTTTGAAGTCAACAGTAGGACAAAATGAGGAATGGTCAAGAGAATTAAATAGAACCGAATAAAAGTATTTGCAACTTTAAGCAGCCGCAGCAGGGAATAAAGATTCCCTCCCGGAACTTGCCACTTACTATGTACTTGGAGAAAAAATGTACATCGCAGGTCAGTCTTTTTAACATTTACAACTGTAAGGGCTATTTAATTTGTCTGTAACACTGATGGCATTCGGTCGGAAGCCTCTGTCTCAGATAAAGCGCTGAGCTGCCCTGACTCTTTTTATTCTCTAAAAATTGCCTTTTTATATTTCATAGAAAATGCTACACGCGCGATAAATTGTGAAGACTGGGTAGAGAACAAGCGACTTTTTCGTCCGACAGCCTGCATGATTTTTTTTCCGAATTCTCTTGCCCCCCATCACCTCGTGAACTTAAAGTAAACCTAGTTATTCCTATCTGGTTATAATTATTTACGGACGTGGTTATTGCATGTAGTATATCTACCTCGAAATGCTCACACTTTAGCTTGATTTACGCAATAAATAATTATGGTCTTCGTACACGACTTGTATCCAGTGGTCATCGAAGGCCGCCTAACGTGTTGCTCTAGTCAAAAAACACTCCATTAAAGACCTATCAGATGTCCCATTTTGCACCGTTTACAAAATGCCGGAAGATGTCGCGGTCAAAAGCAGCGCTGTGATGTTATCTCCTATGAAAATGAATTCATATGTCGCACGTAAATATTTACATATTTACAAACCGATACACTTTCTGATTATGGTTAGGCGTTAGGTTTTAGCCATCCCTCGGCCGTGGTGACAAACAACTGATTAGTCAGATCGAAGGTCGTACCATGCTTCTGTGGGTAAATGAACTAAAGTTACACCGAGTCTAACTTATCGCAAGCCACGGTCCTTCTTTCTCCAATACCACGAACTCAAATATTACGGTTTCAAGTTGCTGAAGTAAGGGCTGCGAAACAATATTCAAACCTCTAGGCTATTTCATAGGTCTTTCTTACTGAGTCAATGTGATTCAGGTAAATTACGTCTGGGTAGGAAATTGGATCGTTTACTAAAATTTTGCTATTTCATCTCCGACCGGCTAAATGCGCGCAAAGAAAGCGTCTTGATTTTTAAGTAAACAGGCCGTTAAGTACCTTTTTAGGATGTCCGCTTTCATGCATTCGAAACGAGGACAGTGAAGTTAACGGACGACACGTAACGAGACCAGGTTTGCTCACATTAACCATTCTTAAGGATTAAGTGTTGTCTAAAGTTTACAAAACTCGTAAGGCTCCAAGCAGACTCATGTAATCTTCCCGAACCATCGGCTTCGGCGATCCATGTGTTTTTATCTATTTCATAGGTTTAAGTTGATTACCCATAATGTGTCGGAGTGTCTGAACTCTGCCGCGACAACTGTGGACCATGAAGACCAACTTTAATGCTGCCTAGGACAAGCTACCTAGTCTCCATTGTTCGGGAAAACATTGGCTGCTAAATGGAGTCATCCAGCCGGGTGTGTGGTTTCTATTCTCTAGAATAAACAAGACTGGTAGCAAAGATTGCATAGGGTAGACCAATTGCTTTATAGAGGAGGGAGAAAAACGACCGACGGAAGTTTTTTCATACGAACAATTCGTCTTCTTGCTTTACAAGAAAATTGAGTATACACATAATCGCTCTCACTTCTTTGATACTAAAAGAACATGTAAGGCAAACGTTAGTAAAGGTCCTAATGAGATGCCGAATAAACTCATGAAACAGATCGAAGAGTAAGTTCGAATTAAACTGCTGCAAAATCCTCCCCCTTGACCAGAACACTTAAAGGCCTTTGGCTTCATCGCCAGAACCCTAAATATTTCACATGCTCGTTTTCTTAAATATGTTCATCTTAGTTAGTTAGCCGTCGGGGACAAAAAGTGCACGAAGCACTGATGTGAGGTTATCCGTCTAAAAAAGGCCTCAGGTAGGACTTTGAACTTACCATAAACAGGCGAAAGGAATTACATGTAACGGAACTACGAGCACAGTCGCGTCTGGAAAAAACAATATTCAACGTCAGAAGTAGGCACAATACACGATTACTAGAATATTTTAGGCATATTAGAAGGCGGGGGACAGTGGTATTGAATGGAAATCAAAAGTAGGTCAGGTGTTGGAATATGAACATTTTCGTACTAAAGGTGGCCCCGCCCTAAATTCCATGTGGTATATACTCCTGTCCTAATATTAGCCATGACCTCAACACTCAACTGACCCTAATGGACACTAATCCTAATCCTACAAATCCTATTTCTAATTTCAACTCTAATCCTTACTTGAATTTAGCGCAAGGCCAACCATCTTACGGGTATTCATATTTTGTGGCCTACGGGCAACAAAGCTAAGAGTGAAAAACACAGGTACAGGTGGAGTACAAAACCGATTAAGTGACTCAAGCCAAATAAGACAGATCGCAAGGTGCACAGTCGGGAGGGAACTCCGTCCAACTAACTGGGTCCGGCAGCTGTTTGATTATGCGGTGAATGCTATAGCCCGGATCTGTAGACGGAATGCTTGACATGTGATCAAATAACTGGTACCCACTCCGTGAATTAAAATGCAATTCTAGCGCTTTGGTCTGACCGACTTGATTGCAAGGATTGCAATGACAACTCTCCTAGTTGTAGAAGGGTAAATAGTCTGCAGTCACAAACGTGTAACGCTTCGACATGGTGCGCAACTTTTCCAATAACTATAGAACATAGTTGGCGGCAAAAGAGACTACTCGAAAAACGAATTTGCACGCAGAAGTGCTGCCTATGTTCTATGGATCAAGTATCAGGAGAAATGTCGAGAGGTCGGCCAGTCGAGCTCGTCGGGCGACGTTCGTTTTCTGGTTGCTTGATTATCCTGTTCATGCCATCGGCCTTAACTAAGATATATTTTACACTAAATGATGGGGCGCTAACTATATTTTGTTCCTGATGCAGTAGCAGATGCGATTCCACCTAAAGTGTGATGTAAAGCATACCTCTTGGGTGATTGCGTTAGAAGAAATCCGTTAATAGTGAGCCCTCAAATGCTTATCGTTTCAGGGTTCAAAAGTAGACAATGCTCCCCGATGTCAGTTGATACCAACTTGCCCAATCGAATTTGAAGCTGGTGTTTGTTATACAAGAAGGACAAAACAAGACGTCTGAAGTGTTTAAAGGGGATTACACACGATGCCGTTGGTGATGCTTAGGTCGACTTCGACCTTCAATGAACGCTTTGTCGACAGTAGCAAAACATTGATCGTTTTCTATGCTCAATCACTTAGATTTTCGTAGATATGCGTCGACAGGATCTTTTGCAGTTTAAGTGCAGTATAGCCTAAAAGCTGTAGAATGAGGGTAAGAAAATTGTTTCTGGTGGAACGCTTCTGGACACTTGAGGTCGGTTAATGCAATGCAGATGTGTCTTGAAGCTACCGAAACATGGCCAAATACGTAAGTCGGATTTTATGGATGCATAACCAAAAATCTACGCGGAAAATGCATATTACGGGCAGATTTCAGCTGTAGACACCCAGGTTTTCATTGTGACCGAAATGTTCCATAATAACCGCAGGGAGACCCGAACCATCCTGTCCATAACCAAAAACTCAGCTTTTAATATAAAAATAAATAATAAAGTATGCTGGGAATGATCGCCGCAAAAAGACAGCAAAGACTAGACCGTCTCCTTCTGACTAACTGGTCGTCATCATTCATACAACAAACTCTAAGATGGCAAAGACCCCAGGTTGCAATATTTGGGTCTTCAGCAACATGTTCATTGCATTCTAGTTGCAATCGGGCTTAAAAACGGGCTTGTATAACATGACATGTCATTATCGGGTCACTTTCTTATGGTGTAACTTAATGTTTGGTGTCATACAAAAGTCGGTATAATTTTGTTAAATAAAGATACTCTTTGTTATGTACCATAACCGGTTTCCGTCTCCGCATAGCACTCGTCTCGTGATTCTAATGGAAACAGCAACAGCCTGTAAATGACAGTGCTAGTAATTTACGCACCAGAAGAAGAAACGATATGTACCGTCATACTTAGCATTGAGACAGGACGATTAAAGAGACAGAGTCGGCTGTCTTTCCTTGAATGCCCGTCGCTTCGCTTGCCAGCTGTCATACTAAAATCGGCAGAAAGGATTTATCATCATCTACCATCTTCATCGGGATTGTCGGCTTTGGATCGAGCATTACCAGGTTTGTGTGTCATTTGTCGTCTGTTGGACGGTAATTTGCGTGTGTCCACGTCGCCATTCTTGGTGAGACCGAGTGTCCAACAATTTGGTTTTTTTCATATGACGAACGGAGCAAGTGTGGCAGGCATCCGAAGTGAACTCCGACTCCATTTATTTTCACGCATAGTCATCCGATCATCTGTAGGTTTGAAAAGGTGGATAGATGTTAGAACGGCACGCCTGAACACCGATGACAGCGAGTCTGAACGCCGTGTAGGCCGTTGTTGCTTGCTGTTTCTTATCGTAGGCGTCTTCTGGTTTCTCCAATGTCTGGTTTAGTGAAGTGAGTGTTTCCAAAGCACCTAACCAAGATCCATGCAGTAGCTTTAAATTAACCGTTAATCCTTCAGGATTTGGTGAAGATAACGTCAACTGCTGTGCTCCTTGATAACTTTTGACTCTCCTCGGCGAAAGATGATAGGTATGGGGGCGGCTGACATCACAATAGGTGGGAATTTTTCCCCAGACATTTCAACAATTTTACATTAAAAGCAATTAATTATGCCATACTTTCGGGTTTTGTACCTCTGGAATAAAAGAAGTCTGAATGAAAGGCTGAGCCATCAGTCCATCTAAAGTTAAATCCAAAATGGGTAGAAGCATCAGCAGTCATGGACCGCCCCCATGGTCTACTAAAACTTTAAAGAATGTTTATTGCTTCTAACCATTGTTTCATCGTCATGACTCACTTACATATGGACACTCAATGTCTATTTTTTTTAAGAGTAAACTACGTTTCGCCCGGTTCTTAGTAGTGGTCTAGTCAAGCAAGCAGATATTAAGCAGATAAAAATAATCTTACCCAAGTGTGGTTTAAAGAATAGTGTTGTCACGGTGCGACAGTCAACAACGAAGAAGTTTCCTTAATTGGACAACTAATTGGACAACCGTTATTATGGCAAGAGAGCGTGTGAACGACCTAGCAGGCAGTAACAGTAATTGGTCACTAAGGTGTTAAACCCCGGTGCGAAGTTCAAGCATAGCCAACCATCAGTTCTTTTTTTACCCTCGCTAGTTTTGCGATCGCAATAAATTTAAGTTAAACAACTTCATCTCGAAGATAATTGT